TTTCCTATGGTATAGCCAATTCACTTTGTACTTGACATAATTGGTTACCCTCATAGGGCTGTTCTATAACTATTCCGGGTCATCAACTCCGCATTTACGGGTGAGACAAATATATACAACATTATGGCAAGACTAAGTCCCCGGGGATGGTGGCTACGTTGTATGTTGCAGTACGGAGTATATTAATCCTACATAGGAGTCCTCGCTACAATGCTCCCCCATTGTATGTACATCGATGTATAAGAATACTTAAAAGGCTGGTGGCATGAAATTTAGGACTATATAAGTAAGACATTCGAGAACTTCCATATTAAAATTGCAATACAACAGCCCATAATGTGCTCCGTACCTCCAACAGATCACGCCGATCGACGGCACAAGACAATGATGTCAAGCACGATATGCCCTGAGACAATGTGGATATCGTGGATCCCCCAATGGCGCAGCTAAGAGGTTAGCGTTTTCTGCTTGTTATTCTTTAGGGGCAAAATTTGTCGGTCTTCCGACAAGTCCTGTCGATCTTTAATCACTGTTGAACTTTCATCACTTCCCTGAAACAGCTCTTCGGGGTCTTCTATTAGGATCTTCAGAGTCCTGCCGTGTGTATGTTGGAGAAACCGGGGTGTCATATGCTAATTTTATCCGCTTGTCTGTTGACACAATGAAGAGGAATACAATGGCGTAACCGAAACAGGCAAATTGTGTGTGTGATCCATTTAGTTGGGTCTTCAGTGGATCCTGCAACCGAGTTGGATGCTGCCATGTTCCTAAATGCAAAACCCTCAATGGACCAAATGGACAGTGGGTAGAAACATTCTACAACATATTGTGTTGTACTTTATGTTGTATATGTGAGGTGTTTATTCTCACTGCTACCCAACTCGGCTTTCTTCCCATTTTAGGTCTCATGGCTACCTACTTTGTATACTTGCCTCCATATTTCCCCAGTGTGTTTATATTTAGTGTAGATAAGACATTTCCTCTTTCTTGCTTGTTCAACTTGGTTCCACCGAACTTTCATGTCGATCACAACATTTTTCAGATGGATCCGTTTATGGAGTTGCCCAAGCACGTCCCTTTCTCTGTCTTATATATGACCCTGATGGATTCCCTCTCTTTCCCCGATAAATCTTTCCTCAATATCAATTACTTCCCTTCTCCTTCATAATGAAGTTCTCCGCCCTTCTTTCTCTCGCCCCTCTTGTGGCTGCCATCCCCGGCTCTAAGCAGGCCAATAACTCCGACGTTGCTTTCGGCGTCATCTCTGCTCGCTCGGCTTCTCCCGTCCACCTGCTGCCTCTCAATGCCGGCGGCACCTACTTCTGGCTCGGTGGTCACGCCCACACCTATTCTCCTATCCCCGGAATTCCCGACACCAACCAGACCGTGATTGCCAACGGTCACTTCTTGGTCAGTATTACTCAAATATGTATCTTTCCAATGGCCACATTTGCTAACTTTATATCTAGGACGTTGCGGTTCCCGGTGGCCAGGCCATCTACGTCGATAACAAGGGTGCTCTGCGCTTCACTTCTCCCCACTCCGCCTACGAGCCTACTGGTTCTTCCGACGGTCCCTTTGAGTACACTCCTGGCTCCTCTTTCGGCCACTGGAGCTTCAAGGGCCATGGTGCATCCGGCTTCATGGCTTGCCCGACTACCAACGCTACTATTAGCTACCGCCGTTCCCGTCGGGGCGCTGCTGCCGCCCCCAAGTGGCAGGTCTACGCTGCTCTGAAGAACGCTACTGTTCCCACTGGCAAGGTTGAGGACTGCCTCGGCTTCGATGCTCTGACTGTTTCTGTCAACACTACCACCCCTGTTGCTTGGGAGTACATCTAAAGTGTTTAAGCCTGTAGCTTAGCATCTGGATTGTACAGCATAATTGTTAGGCGTGCGTGGCCCTGAGAGAGACATGGGGCATGCAGTGGAATACTTCTCGGGTTGGTTTTGTATTATTTTGGTTACCTCGCCTAAATCACACTATCCTTAATTTATTTTTGGCTGTTAGAAAAAACATACTTAATGGGATCAATAAATGCCCAATTGCATATCTTGAAAATCCCAATTGTATATTGCATCGTCGAAAAATTGCGAATCAGGTTCAAAAAACGTATCTTCCGACGACAAGTCGTAGCGTATCCTATCCGCAAACATCAAACTTTCGAGGTTCTCAGTTGTAGCTGCATCAGATGCAGACAAAGAGCCTGGATATTTCAGGTAGGGATCATTATATGGCCGATTCACCTCTTCTAGCATTGGCCGAAGGCAATTTATGCAGAGGTTAGCCCTACCCCACCATCTACCTATTTCATCTATCATTTCAAGACATCTCGGTATCACGACAAGAAGAACATGAGATGCCGCTGGTCTCATCAAAGGTTGGGAACGATATTGCCAACAGGCATCAAGCAAAATGACTGCCGCGTCAAAGAGAATGTGGAGTATGTGCCACGGATGTACAACTGCAGTGGAATTGAGGTCCAACATATCCTTTGCATCTATAACATTCTGGCAAACATCAAAGCATATTTGGCGTCCTGCCGTTGTGCGTAGCGGGAGGCGTGATGTTGGGCGGTAAATTTTCGCTTTGAGATAGTTGTAGATGACACGTCTGAATAGTTGGACCTCATCTGACATTGCGTCATGTGGTTTTGCGATGTACCATTCCTCGAGAGAGGAGGTGGTCTTCAGGGCCCATGTTGTAATGTCTGAAAGCGATGGGGCTAGGAGGAGTTGCGTCGATCTTGGGGTATCTTCTTTCAGATGGAGAACCCGATGGACTTCAGGCTCAATACTTCGATATACAGTATGTCACCCAAAACAATCGCTGATACAGTTCTTCCTTCTCTCCACTCACGGCTGCATAGAGGCCTAGATCAAGAACGATCCTTGTTGCAGTCATATTACACGTCCATATATCGATGAGTTCCGGATTCAAATGTGCATAATGTGCCAGGAGTAGTACAGCCTGAAAGCTCTCCAATTCCTGTATCTCCACAATTTGCTGTAGATGATGAAATGCAGACGAGAATAAAGAAAGTGACGCTGATCGCGCTTGTGGGCCTGTCTTCCAATATAGCGACACAGATGAGATAGCCAGTACGATATACGCAACAAATGATTCGAAGTGGCTAATGTGTAACTCGGAGTCCGTTTGAGATATGGATTGAAATATCTGGTTGAGCAAACCTTCTTGAACGATAGGATAGAAATTCAGGAGACGTTTTGTGTAGTGTCGTACCATGCAATCCGTTGCTCTCGTGGGAATATTGCGCAATCCAATTGGGGAACGAGCGAACTGAAGTTATGATTGAAAGCCTTTATGTTGAGTCATTTGCTGCTGATTGAGTTGCTGGAATGCTTGCTCTACCTCCAAGTGCATGGTCCGCAGGATGATTAAAGGTGACACTGAGGGCCTGATGAAGTTGGAAAGCCCCATATTTGCAAAAAACAACCCGCAACAGGCATGCCAACAGTGATAGTAGCTTCAGCAATTTTAGCGGGTAGAACCTGCAGATTTTGTGTACTAGCACTGGGGATACGCTTGATTCTTGCTTCAAGACGGACTATTTGTTCTTCAAGGGACTTTGTATAACGGCTTTCTGACCGCATCTGGGTTCTGTCAACGAATGGTGTGATCAAATATTATCACCTTCTTTGCTCCCTGAACATTCTTTATGAGCAGTTCTTCCACCTCCGGGTAGAAGAGACGCTTGACTTCGTCGTCTGAGCTATAAGTTTCATAGCTAATGGTAGTGTAAACATTCTGGAGAACTTGGAATGCGTCGCAGTCGAGCGTATAGGAAGTTTCGTTCTCGTTCCGGATATCGGCTAGGTGGACATTATGGGGGAGATCTTGGAAGTTTTTCTTCGGTTGACCAGGTGGTGGGTTATCGACATATTGAAAGGATGGGAGCCGTCGGCAGGTGGATTGTAGAAGAGCAAATCAACATCGACAGGGCCGCGAGGAATTGAGGCTTCCAGTCTTTTGGAGTCGTAAGGTGTTTGAACGGTTGCCATAGCTCGCAATATACTTCTGAGGCGAGAGAACGATCTCGGGAAGGGGAGTTGTGAGATTAATAGGGAAGCTGGAGGCATAAACATCATTTGATCTTCCTGGAAGTCCAGCTATGAAGGACTTTCCCGATTGGCTCAAGTGGGTTATCGCAAAATCCCGAGTAAGTTAGGAAAACTCCGATAGACCCAGTAAGACCCTGTAAGAGATATTAGCAACATTCAAATATTGTTTTTCTCTTAGTATATGATCACTGTTATCTTGATTCCTTGATATATACCTAAATTTTGTATGTTGGAGAAGTTCAGACCATTTTAACCCCAATCTAGAAATTTGGAGAAAAGCGTATATCGTGACCATATTTAGGTGGCTTCTGTCTATCGGTATTTGTTAGGGCGCCGCTTTAACGACGAAGGTTTAAACAACCACGTATAACACTTGACATATGGATAAGGTACGCTGAGAGTAGCTTCCCAATTCGTTTATTCCTGGGAATATTGCAGCAAAACGCTGAATGAATTGTACCAGAAATTCCTCAATCAGCTACCAGAAAGGGATGAAGTCAACGACTGGATCAGCAATTTCAGTCGGATGGATTCTTGCCAAGTGCTTTTGGTATCCTTTTTTATGCAGGGGGAATATATCACGAAGAATCATATTCCTACAGACTTTACTAAGGCTTTTTACCGATATCAACTTGACCGGGAGCCTACTGCTACTGAGTTAGCAGATGCAGTCGATCTTGTTTAGAACTCAAACGTATTTGAACCTGGACCTCCACCTGAAAAATCTACCGAATTTTTCATGGCACGGTTTGTGCTGAAGTCATTGTCTTCGCAGGAATTTGCTCTGAAGTTCACCCATGAAAAATTTGAAAAATTCCTCAGACGGAGTCCCCAAGCTGGTGCAGAAATAGAGTTGTGGGTGGACATGATTTTCCATAGTACTTAACCCCTCCCGTTTTCAACCTTCATTTTTCAAAAATGGTGAGAACAGCTCAAACTTCACAGGCATCCGCCCAACCTAGCGGATGGATTCAACGGGAATATGCCGACCATGAAGGCAAAATTGTCATTTTGGGGAAGGATGCCAACGAAAGCCAATTCTATAAGCCGGAGGGAGGTGAAGCTTACCGACTTCAAATATACAGCACGGGTCCCATCCAGCAGGAAGAGCTCAAGAAGCTGTATCAATATTTCTGCTTTAACCTCAGCCAGCTTCCATTTTTGGAAATTTATTCATGCAACCCAGCGGACGGTTTGGCATGCGTGGAGCATCAGCGTCGTGAAGTTGCCCATCGCAAGCGTCTCCATGCCGAACAGCGCGAAGGCGAACATGACGAGTCTCTTCCCCCTTTGATTCCAACCATGCGAACTGGCTTCAATGATCAGTTCATGTCTGGATTTTGTTTCCTTCTCACGTCGAAGAGCTACCTCCAGGGTTCATTCGCAGACAATGAGCACGGTACAGGGCCCTGGTGGATCAGCTTCGATCGGAGTCTTCCGTCCACAGTGAAGAAGTTGGACTTGATTAAACGTCTTGACAGTCCGGCGACTGATCTTCAAACTTTTGCTGAGTGGGGGATTGCAGTCAATCCTGAAATTCGCGATATCGATGTGAATATTACAACCGACCAGACTGAAATAAACTCCGACATGAAAGATCTTTTAAGAGGAATCTACTCGACATTTGTTTATGGGGAAATTGATTATGGACTCCATGAACCGCTCCCACCCGCACCCTCCGAGGGGACTCCGACCTTGCAACATATCCAGGAGGTTCTGGAGCAGCAGCAGCAATCTGCAGAAGTCCAATCTGTGGACTTGAGTTTACTTCGTCTTACATTGGGACCTGAAAACAATACTGTCACAGTCACGAACAGCTCTTCGGGCGGGGAATGCGACCTTCAATACGTGATCTACGTTCAATTCCTCGCGAATGTTGACCAGGAAAAGGCTGCCCTCCTGGAGACCACTGCACGCACATTCACAGCTGGCGTTATCTCCTGTCTCCCTGCTTCCAAAACAATTTATTTCGAGTTCCGGATTCCTGGCTTGTCCTTGTCTTCCATTATATCCGCTCCACCCAATGGATTTGATGTCGGCGCCTCCCATGAATTTGAGGCGGGTTCGGTCATGCGGGCACTACCTCAGATTCGCCGTGACGTTTCTGTCCACCCGTTACCCCATCACTTCTTCACTGTGGTTCTTGACAAGCCTGCCTTTATCCAAGAACCAAGTGTGTTGTTCTACATCCTCTGGACCGACCCTTCGCAATACATTGAACCACAGTCCACTGATACCGTTATTGGGACTATGCGAAGCGCTGGTATTCAAGAAGCTGCAAGAAGGCTTGCAATGCTTGCGGTGGAGGAGAGAATCACCGAGAGTCCAAGGAGGCTCACGCGGGAAGAGCATAGGGAATTATTATCTTTGTCGCCGGAGGAGTACGAGCAGAAGATGAATTTCTAATATTTCAGGGCCAAGAAACCAGGGAAGAGACACATAGCTTCGGAGGTACGGTCTAGGATAGGCTGAAACATTTCTAATGCCATTCGACCATATATCAAACTTCAATTGCCCTCGTAATGCAGTTTCTAATAATGTAATCCTTGGTGACTGTATATCATCGGAATTCTGCGTGATGCTTCGGCTTTTCCCGATTGGCTCAAGTAGGTCATCGCAAAATCCCGAGTAAGTTAGGAAAACTCCGATAGACCTAGTAAGACCCTATAAGAGTTATCAGTAATATTTAAATGTTGTTTTTCTCTTAGTGTATGATCACTGTTACCCTGATTCCCTTGACAAACACCTAAATTGTATATGTTGGAGAATGCAGACCATTCGAACCCCAATCTAGACATTTGGAGAACTTTTACCTCCAACCTAGCAAATCATCTCTTCTTTTTGTAGATACAAGATCAGGGGCTTGTCTTATGCTGGTCTTTCTCCGAAATTCACGAAACCTCGTTATATTCATTTCGTTGCTTTCATTTTATGATCTCTAAAGATGCTATCATGAATCTTCATTCCTCGCCCCTACTTCAAAGCAACATTTCACTGCATATGTCGGCAAAGATATCCTAACTTTGCTTTGTGATGACTCCGCAGGACATACCCCAGCACATGGTTGCAGGCAGCATCACCTTCAGCACTGCCTCCTATTTATAGCAGTGCGAGGATACCATATTGGGTCAGTTACCCCAATTCGCCTAAACAGAAGAGTCCTGATGGCAGACTAAATCAAATTGGGAAATTTGGGGTCGAGTAGATTACTTTACATAGATAATACTAAGTTCCTTTCGATAACACATGTCATGTATGTGTACATAAGGATTATCTGTCCAAGCTACTTGCTTCATACGTAATGCTTTTCATAGTATAAATACCATTAAATCCTCAGCAGAATTCCAGCAAACAGAAGCTTCCCTGAACAATCAAAGAATAACCAAAACATCGTTCTGTCTACGCGTCCAGTATATCATGTCTCCTATTCCAACCACCATCGACGATACTCCCCAATACAAGGGAAAGTTCCACTACGTGTCCAAGAATGCAAATTTGCAAGTTAACCCTAACTTGTACCACCTTCCACCAATGTCAGCCTTTGGTGACGCCTTGACGTTACCTCTTGCAGACCTCCGCCCATCTCTTGATGCCGATGAATCGCCCTACAAACTTGATTACCGTAGCTTCACGGCGCGGCGTGCTCCGTCAAAACTCCACTCTGCTCCTTGCAGCCGCGAAAGCTGGAACGACCCTGAGCTCATCAGAACTATCTATGTGCCTGAAGTGGAAGACTTGGTCAAGAGAGTTACAGGCTGCAAGACAGCATTGGTCGAATCCGCAGTCATCAGAAATCATCTGCACTTGGAAATCGACTCCCACCCAACGGAAAAATCAGGAGCTGATTACACTGGCGATGACGCCGGTCCCTGTCCTCGTATGATCGGGTTCTCGGATGCAGATGGTGCTTCCCCCGCCCCAAAGGTTCATCTCGACTTCTCGCCCCTTGGCGCGAGAACACATATTCGAAAATATCATCGCAACTTGGCTATTTGCTGCGGAACACGTTATTGAAGCTGAGAATGCCTTACTGAAGTCTGGAATCGGATGGAATGAGCTCAAGGACCACTATGCAGGTATCAAGGAGAATGGTGTTTCCTGATTCGCCCTTTTCTCCATTTGGCGTTCCCTGAGGATTGTCCGTCGGGTCCCCATCGCTGTGGCTTCATGTGCCACTTATCCTACTTCCGACTTTGTTCCTGTGGACCTTGTCCAACCCAGCGGTCGTATCATTCCCCGCCATCTTTCCCAGATCATTGGTCCAGTCCATTCGGATGACAACGATGGGAAAAGTGCCAGAGGAATAGAGAAGTACACGCACCTCTCTGAAAGTTACTTGTCACATGCTCCCAGCGGGAGAAAACCTCACGATTGGCACTTCATATCCAACCAAGAGCCCGAGGACGTTTTGTTTATTCAGCTTTTCGACAACCAGATGGAAGCAAACAAGGCGCTTAACGCACATGAAAACGGAGACGGTTCCCCAAGATAGCCTGTCAGTGGAGCTATGCACAGTGCCTTCCAATTAGAAGGCCAGGACTGTGATAGTGATGCACGTGAGAGCTTGGAGGTGAGGGTTGTTGCATTTTGGTAATGGGTACAATAGTAAACTGCCATAATTAGAATCCACTCGATAAATTTAAGCTTTTTATGACACACTATGCGTACTATAGACACATTAATATATTTGAAATAAATGATAAACTGCATTTGCTGAGATCTATAGCATTTTGAACCGGTTATCGTGGTCATTAATGACTGCCCAGGTAATCTTGATAATATCCAACAAGCAGCTCGGAGAGTCCGAAAGACAGCACATCATAATACGGTAGTTATTCAGAGGCGACAGTAAAGCATTTCTGTCTATAGAGGTTGCCCCTTCTTCATTCAATAATGCAACCAGATGAGGTCTACGAGGTAGCGTCAAGCTGTGGGATTAGCCAGGCGATTGATTTTCCAAATCGCACTTAGAATACCATTAATTATATAATTGTCAATGTCCTACACGCGTCTGAAATGGCCGAGGTCATCAAGTAACATTTTCCCCTGAGAGTCAACTAGCAGACCCTTGAAATGATAAATATCCTTTCCCAGAAATGAAGCTACCTCTAATTTGAACTATTTGAACTATTTCAACTATCAAACTGCAAATCATCCATTGACCTGCTACGTTAATAAAAAGGTAATCGAAATAAAATAAATTTTATACAACTATGCTAACTGCAGATGGTAGATCAGGTCATATTCAATTCGAGACCAGGCAAAAGAAACAAAGGGTATTCATCATCATAAAAATCACAGCCACACTCAAAGCTTAGCAGCACTACCAGCAGAGGAGATCTCATTGTACAGCAAGCTGGTCAAGAAATCAGCGTAATCCTCACCAGTAACCTGGCCAGCAAAGTACCGAGCAGCAAGCTGGTACTTATTTCCCTTGCCAGCCTTAGCCGCCAGGCTATCAGCCTGCTCCTGGAGCAGACGCAGCGCAAACGCCTTATCCACGCGCTTGCCCTCAGCGGTGGTGACGTTGTGTCGGGTCCACTGCCACAGCTGGCTGCGGGAAACCTCGGCTGTAGCGGCGTCCTCCATGAGGAAGTTGATAGGCACACAGCCGACACCACGAAGCCAGCCTTCCATGTAGCTGAGACCGATGTTCAGGTTCTTGCGGATGCCTTCCTCGGTGATCTTGCCGGGGACGTTGGTGTTGAGGAGGTCGTTGGCGGTGATGTTCACTTCCTCGCGGCGGACGAACAGCTGGTTGGGAGTGGGCATGTGTGTGTTGAAGACGTCAGAGGCAATCGATGCCAGGGCGGGGTGTGCAACCCAGGTACCGTCGTGGCCGGCGCGCACCTCGCGCAGCTTGTCGGCGCGAACACTCTCCATGGCCTTGTCGTTGGCGGCAGGGTCGTTCTTGATGGGAATCTGGGCGGCCATACCACCCATGGCGTGAACGCCACGACGGTGGCAGGTCTTGATGAGGAGTTTCACGTAGGAATCCATGAAAGGCACGGTCATGGTCACGTCGGAGCGATCGGGGAGGACGAAGTTGGGGTGGTTGCGGAACTTCTTGATGAAAGAGAAGATGTAATCCCAGCGGCCGCAGTTGAGACCGGAGCTGTGATCACGGAGCTCGTAGATGATCTCGTCCATCTCGAATGCGGCGGTGATGGTCTCAATCAGGACAGTTCCACGAATGGTTCCGCGGGGCAGACCAATGTAATCCTGGGACAGGTTGAAGACGTCGTTCCAGAGACGAGCCTCCAAGTGTGACTCCATCTTGGGGAGGTAGAAGTAAGGACCGGCACCGCGGGCGACCAGCTCCTTGGCGTTGTGGAAGAAGTACAGACCGAAATCAAACAGACCACCGGAGATGGCTTCGCCGTTCACGGTGAAGTGCTTCTCCTCCAAGTGCCAGCCACGAGCACGGGCAATCAGAGTGGGCAGAGTGCGGTCAGTTCGCAGCTTGTACTCCTTATCACCCTGCTTGAAGTCGACCTGTCGGCGGATAGCATCGTACAGATTGACCTGACCGTTCACCATGTTCTCCCAAGTCGGGGCGCTCGAATCCTCGAAATCGGCCATGTAAGTCCAGACATCGGAGTTCAGTGCGTTGACCACCATCTTCCGGTCGGTTGGGCCAGTAATCTCGACACGTCGGTCCACGAGACCTGGGGCGGGGGGAGCACCCTTCCAGGCGTCATTCTCACGGATGTGCTTGGTCTGGGGGAGGAAGTCGAGAAGGTTGCCCTTATCAATCTCAGCCTGGCGATCGATGCGGCGCTGGAGAAGAGCTTTGCGGGTGGGGTTGAAGGTGCGGTGCAACAAAGCCAAAAAGGCGCATGCCTCCTTAGTTAGGATCTTGCGAGCATCATTGCTGATGGAGCCCAGGATAGCGACATCCTTGAGTTGTGTTTCGACGTGAGACATGATGTATATGTGGTATAGAATAAGTATAGGTATGGAATAGATGATATACTATGGGTATTCCATGTACAAAAGTATCAAATTCTAGATTCCAGATTCAAGATTCAAGCAGGGAAACCAGAATTAATAAAGAGCAATAACTCGACAACATATTGTTTAGCCCATCTGCCCGAGGGTATCAAATACGTCAGAGCCACCGAAGTTGCCGCGGTTGTTCTGGACCCGCAACGATAAGCCGAAACCCCATTTGACCGTGTTCTCTTGTCTCTTCGACTGTGAAACTCTGAGCTCCAAGGGGTTTCCCAGGACTTTTCCACGGGAAACTCTTCCTCTCGGCCGACATTCCCCGCTCCCCGTCCTTTTAAGCTTATATTCGTTACTATTCGGCACCTTCAATCTCAATTAGAACGGCACACGCCGCACACCGAGTCTTATCAGGTAGTTTATTTCAGTCATTTTTGGGAAAACTCTGACAGTTATATATCTTGATTCTTGGGTCTTGTTCAATAACGATAATGACCAATTCACAAATCTAACATACAAAATATTGAACAACTTTCATCCCTACCTCTACCACCCCTGCTTCACCCGAAAGTGGCCGTAGAAGACTCTCCGTATGCACCGGAAACTCCAATCAGCCGCGGCTCACCCTGATAATTCATATCTTGTAGGGTTCTCAAGAGTCATTATCCGAACCGAGTTGTCCCGGCGGTTTTCTGTGTCACCCTGTGTTAATCGGCATGTGACCGCATGTGATGTCGCTCAAGAGCCAATTCGTGTCTCTATGTTGTACATACATACATCTGAATGCTAGTAAATCGACAACCTTAGATTCAGGATTCAAAGTCATTTGGTATATATATGGGGTAGTATTCCTGCTACTGTCGTGCCCTTACGCTCCCTTGGGATCCCATCTCTAGGCCAATGCGACTATTTACAATTCTTCCCCCGATGTCTTCGGGATCCTGCGTCACTCTGTAAATGGGAAAATCAATATGAAGAAGAAATGCGACATCTACACGGTTTCGATGTACCGCTTCATCTCCCTGTGAACATGTTAAGTCAGCATCTAAATGAACATCGCAGTAGATGATACCACATACCAATCAGTGACCGCCTCCTCCCACAGGCGCACCTCGTGTTCCCGAGTTCCGGCAAAGTGCTCGACAAATAAATCACCAAAGACTTCCCGTGCGATACTCTCCGGTCGTGCAAATGTAACGACCGCTTCCTTCAAGGACTTGGCCAGACGCACACCCTTATCACTTGCACCGCCCATGTCCTCGCCACGTGCAAGAGGCGGCACGGGGATCTCGAGCTTCTTCTCCACTCCGCGCCATCCCAATGCCAGGATCGCCGCTAGGACGAGATGCGCATTAGTGTCCGCACCGGGCACGCGCACCTCGAAACGAGTCGCTTTCGGACTAGCTGTCGGTGGGGTGATCAGACGGATTGACGCGGCCCGGTGCTCTAGTCCCCAAGAAACCGTGACCGGCGCCCAAAAGTTCTCCACCAGGCGTTTGTAGGAATTGATCGTCGGGGCCAAGATCGGCATGATATCCGGCAGGCCGACGAGAAGACCAGCGAGGAAGTGTCGACCCAAGTCGGACAGATGAGCGATATCGGGGTAGAGGGGAGATGGATCGGGGGTATCGCGAATGAAGGCATTCTTTCCGTCAGCTGTGACGAGCGAGATGTGCATGTGTCCGCTGTTTCCTGGCAGGCCTTGTCGGGGTTTGGCCATGAAGCATGGGGTGATTCCATGCTTGATTCCGAATGCTTTGACGACGTATCTATGCGAACATCCCGGTTAGCGATGGGCCATAATGAAAGAACAATCCAAAGCGCTGGCAAGGGAACAATCCTACTTGAACAATCCCGCCTTATCAGCCATGTCCTTTGCTTCGCCAAATTGCAGTGCCTATGACGATGTTTAGTCCCAATACGACCCATTCACTCCCTCATGTCACTAACAGCTTCATAGACTCCAGGTCCACTTTCAGTATGCCACCCTTCAATATCGCATCGGAACTTCTCGCAGGCATCGAAGATACCATAGTAGTAATCTTGGTTGTGGAGAGGCCGAGTGATCGAATAACCAAACATGCCATCAGTCACAGATGGCAACGCATCGACTGGATTAGACTGGAGGAAGGCGGCCGTTGCCGATGCGCCTTGTTCGGGGGTAGCGTGGTTGCCCGGCGTGCGGAATTGGTAGAATTCATATTCGGCTGGGTAAAAGCAGTCTGATCAGCCATTGAATCGCATATTCCCTAGTCTTCGGTCGGACATACCTCCTGCCATCGCCCGATACCCTGCCGCCTCAGCTTTAGCGGCGGCAGTCTTTATCAATCCTCGCGGGCAGGCGCACACCGGCTCCCTTGTGTCTGGATCCAAGAAGCTGATGAGGAAAAAGGGCACGTTGTTCTCCCAAGGAATGCGACGGAAACTGCGTAAATCCGGGACTGCGACAAGGTCACGATATCCGTTCTCCTTGTTGCTGATGGCCAGCTCCTTATAATACGTCGCATCATGCTGATCCCAACCGAAGATGACAGAGCAGAAGCCGAAACCCTCAGTAATGATAGATAAGAACTTGTCTTTCTTCATGAGTTTGCCGCGCAGAATGCCGTCCACATCCACACCTGCTACCTTCACCTTTGTGTCATTCTGGAGAATCTCGGCGACATTCGCGGCTGTGACCTCGACGTCCGCGGGGGTCGACATGATGGATCGGGGCCGAAGGGTGAGATTAGGAGTATGGGGATCTAGGATGTTGTAGAGAACGAGGGGAAGGAGAAGATAAAAGAGGGAAAAGAATGATAAGAGTCACGTTTTTAGTCAGGCAAATCGGGTAAATCGAGTTAATCAAGTTCAAAGACTCCGAGCAAGTGCCCAGGTGGCCAGCGCACCTGCGCAGCTAGGAAGCTTATCAGCGAGATATCGGCGACGCTTTACCCCTTCGGGCCAACGTCGTCACCGCTTATCTAATGGGATCCACGCTGCCCCGCGTATACCTTCAGTGCAACACACCGCACCGGTGATATTGACAACCCTTTTGTTGATTCGATTATTCTCAATTCATGTGAGTGACCTCCTCTCTACCAATTTTCATGGATATTTCACACCATCGTGACCTTGGCCGCTGAGTCATTGCTAATATAGATTCTACTTATACAAACAGAGCTCAAAGATAAGGTCATAATGGCTACCACTACTCCCCAAGGACGTCTCCAAGGCAAGAATGCCATCATCACAGGTGCCGGCGGGTATGTCTATTCTTACACTCCCAAAAAAAATACAAACCCATCACAGAGGTCCTAACCGGTCTCGGACTTGGATAGTGGCATCGGTCTCGAAACCAGTATCCTCTTCGCCCGTGAGGGTGCCAATGTCCTGATGGCCGATGTCTCCGAGCCTGCCCTCGCAAAGGCATTGGCCAAAGTGAAGGAAGTAGTTCCCTCCGCCTCTCGAGTCGAGTCCATCCGATGTGACGTGTCCAAAGAGTCGGATGTGCAGGCAATGGTTGAGTCACAGGATAGCTGGGGAGGCACCGACGTGATCTTCAACAATGCCGGAATCATGCACGCCAACGATGCAGATGCCATCGATACCCCCGAGAAGATCTGGGACCTCACACACAACATCAATGTCAAGGGTGTCTGGTTCGGCAGCAAGCACGCCGTCCTTAGTCTGCGTCGTCACAAGAAGTCCCGTGGCAGTATCATCAACACAGCTAGTGTGGTCGCCTTGGTCGGCGCTGCCACTCCCCAGCTCGCATATACAGCAAGCAAGGGTGCGGTCCTGGCGATGACTCGGGAGTTGGCTATCGTTCATGCCCGTGAGGGATTCCGTTTCAACGCTCTGTGCCCCGCCCCCTTAAAGTAAGTTTTTCCGACTTTTATTTTTAAACATTAGCTCATGCTGCTATAGCACCCCTCTTCTGCAAGACTGGCTGGGTGATGACCAGGCCAAGCGGTTCCGTCGGGAGGTGCACTTCCCCACTGGCCGATTTGGTGAACCCATTGAGCAAGCCCACGCTGTAGTTTTCCTGGCCAGCGACGAGAGCAGCTTCGTGAATGGAACAGACTTTGTGGTCGATGGTGGAATGACCAAGGTTAGTGGTGTAGGCTAATTTCCCCAGGATTGCGCTGACCAATTATCCCAGGCTTATGTGACCCCGGAGGGTCCGGCAACCCCTGCGCCCCAAAACAACGGCAATTAAGGCGTCTGCACGATCAGGTTTCAGGTCTTGAATCTCAGGTCTCGTATTAATTATACTTCTGGGAAATTGAAGCAAGTTTTATTTTTAAGTTAACAATATAAATTATAGAGAATATGAAGAGACAGGTTTGATCGTTTCCTAATGCGGATCACACGCGACACGATGATTCAATTATGATCTCAATGTAACATACTCTGTACTAAAAATTAGAATGACACCACGCAATTGTATGATCCCAATGAGTGTGGTCTGATCACCACCTGGGCACCTATAAGACCTCGGGAGCGATCCTCGGAAGCGATCCTCGGACCTTTCACGTCACGATTCCCCGCATTCCGCTTCTTCCGTTTCAACTGGAATCTACTACTTCTTGACTTCTTCACTTATTTGCTTCTTCACTTCAAACCCTCCTTAATATTCAACCTCCAACTCTTCATGATCACTCGTCAACATACAAAATATAAATCATGATGTCGCAATTTGCTCTCCCGGGTGCCAACAAACCATACAGAAGCACCCGAACCCCTAGCCTCAAACCCCGGAATGGGCGGCTGTAAGTTGTGCCGCCCCCTTTTTTGTGGTCGATTCAACTAACTCTGTTTACTTCAGACTGCTTCCTCTAATGGCTACAATTGGTCTCGGTATGTTTGATCTCTACGTATTATTTCTATGTCGTAGTGAATACTGACTTCGGCACGTGCAGGTTTCGGCGCATACAACTATTACATCGCGGCCAAGTCACGACAAGAACTCTCTATGCTTGAAGAACAAGAACGCCAGGCGCGAAACCAACAGCTGATGGACGCGTACGGCGACAAGAACAGTCTACATGATGTCCAGCAAGCACTTGACGCCTACAATATTCGGTGAACATCGGATTCATACTTCAAGATGCTGGTAGTCTTGAGGTAGAGAACGGCTTTTTTTCAGTTCGATTTGCGATTTGCGTTTGGATGGAGTTCAAAGGATTTGGGATTCGGTGATTCCAAGGCACCACATGCCCTGAGAACAGGGGTATCTTGTGGAGTTAATGCTATATCAGCATGATCACGTACATTTATCAGTTTCAATTTGAAACAACTTTTATCATCACCTAAGATTGTTCCAGCCCGTATGTTGCATATTGCATCTTTCCAAGTGAGACTTCCCCCTATATCGATGTAGGGATTTCGCTGCTATCGGTTGAACATTGCTCTCTGGTTATAGAACAGACCAAAAATATTTGTCTGGGTCATATATTTATATATATAACCTAATACTTGGTTATCATATCTATGCATGGATAGGGTACAGAGTACTACGGAGGCATTTAGCGTGGAACGTCCACAGTGGAGGGACTAAATGTAAGATAGTGATTAATTTAACCTTGACATCTAGAAATTGCATGCATTTTACCAAGCTCCCTCTATTGAATGGAATATTTAATCAATGGCCCCTTTTTCTTTAATTGCTAGACTATACGATGTTGGGTAAGTCCATGCGACCAGCCGGCTAGCATCTTAGCGTACGCTCGAGATAAGCGTCTCAAGCCTCTGAGATAAGGTATTCCGCAGCCCAGCTTCCCCGCATATGAAATAGCCAACCTTCTATCGGAGCTTAACCACAAAGAGAACTCGTCTGGCAATGCCTTCCTGATACGATTGAATGGGGGACATACTTAGATTGATGCTCTCCCCGACTCTTAGATTTGTAAACATTTTCTACAACCTTGAATCGTGATCCACTATGAAAGACGGCCCACTCCAAGGTGATGATGCCCGGTTGGCGGCCATGGGCCATCGGCCTGAACTCCAACGTAGTCATTCAACATTGTAAGAGGGATATGCTACTAAATGCAAGGCTTGATGCTGATGGCAATCTCTAGGTCAATGCTTGGCTTGGCCTTTGCGGTTCTTAATGTACGTCAGGCATGGATGATTGCGACCGGGTTATTTAACTAACCAGGATAGTCGTGGACTGCACTTTCGGCCAGTTTGTCAATCAGTCTTACGTCTGGTGGAAGTACAAGTGTGATTTGGGGTGGGTTTATTTAGAAATACTTAGTTTCGGAGAACTCGCTGACACAAACTCTAGGACTGGTCACTGCAGGATTCTGCAATCTTTGTATCGCATGTTCGCTGGCTGAATTTCTCTCGGCATATCCGACGTAAGCTCCGACATGTCTCCTTTCGGTACATACACCAGACTAATTTCTTTCTTTTTTTGCAGAGCAGGTGGACAGTATCATTGGGTTGCAGGTAAGTCACTTCGTATCTGCAAAATCTATACCACTTGGACCAACGCTAACATTGATCCCAGCCAGTATGTTGCTCTATAATACCTCGTTACAGTTTATACTAACGAATCGAAAGTCGCGTGGCCGAGCACAGTACCAATTCTATCATGGATTACAGGCTGGATCAATGTGGCAGGCTGGGTAGGCAAGGCAATCATTCAATGTGGTGCTCAAACTAACACACACGGCCAGGTTGCCCTCGTAGCGACGAACTCCCTTCTTTCTAGTCAGCTTATTGTTGGCGTCATCTCTGTTCTTCACGAGGTCAGAAATCTCACCCGTACTCTTACCGCAGTACTGACGTGATATACAGAGCTATGTCCCGCAACGCTGGCATCAATTTCTCATCTACATAGGGTTGACCATCGGCTCCTTCGTCATCAATGCTTTCATGAACTCCATTTTGCCGGTCATCTACCGGGGTGCTTGTGTGTTGTCTTCGTCCACTTCGACTCGCTCTATCTCTAACAATATCTACATAGTCATATGGTCGATTGGAGGTTTTGTGATTGTGTCAATTACATGTCTCGCATGCGCTGCTCCCAACTACAACTCAGCTTAGTATGAGCTTCTCTAGCAGTATCAATTTATGACAGACAACTGACACCCACAGTTTCGTGTTCTGTGACTTTGTCAATACAACAGGCTGTACGGATCCCCGATAACTCCATTGTGATGATTTTGCTAATTCAGCCTAGGGCCCGATGGAGTCGCATGGCTGCTAGGTGTATGTTTACTGCACTCATAATACTACTGCAATGATACTGACAGATATCCCAGTTGCTGCAAGGAGGGCTTGGCGTGACTGCATTTGTAAGTCAGCATGATTATCTTGATATCGAAACCAATTTAACTAACTTTATCTAGGATGCGGTGGCACACATGATCGAAGGTAAAGGATTACCCCAGGTCTAAAAATATAGATAGAGGGACTGACACATCGCTTTTTCAGAGGTACCCAACGCTGAAATCGAGGGACCGAAAATCATGGTTACCTGCGTGGGCATCGGAGTGTTCACAGGTTCTATCTTTTTGATAGTCCTCCTATTCGTCGCAGGGAACATGGAAAAAGTCACGACCTCCGCAGCCGGTCCTCTTCTACAGATCCTGGTCGATGCGACTAAAAGCAACGCGGGAGGTATCTGCCTTTTGATGTATGTGGTTAAACTCTCCTCTATCGTGCTTCAACTCTGACACCAGATTCTAGGCTACCCCTAGTCTGCTTGGTCTTTGCTATAATCAGCGTCATGACCACTAGTAGCCGAATGATTTTTGCTTTTGCAAGGTATTTGGTCTTCTTTCCAGCACCAAAAGCGTATACTCATTCTTCACAGAGATGGAGGTCTTCCTGCCTCTCGGTTCTTTGCCAAAGTCCACCCAACACTCAAATTGCCCCTCAATGCACTCATTCTCACCGTTGTTGTGGTGATCGCATTTGGATGTATCTTCCTCGGCTCTTCGAGGTAACAATCACCACCCACAGGCGATAGCGAAAATGGTAACTGACAAAATATAGTGCTTTCAACGCAATTATCTCTGCCTCGGTCGTGGCTCTTGATCTGTCGTATGGAATACCCATCGCCATTAACTGTCTTCAGGGGCGCAGATCGCTCCCCGAGAGAAAATGGAAATTGCCCAATGCACTTGGATGGTTTGTCGATTTGGTATGTTGCAGTCATGGGTGAATGCGAATTTGGATAAGGTGGACCATCTCTGATCATAACCAGGTTTCTTTATCATATATCGCTTTGACTACCGTTTTGTTCGTCTTTCCACCGTCCAGCACAGTCACGGGAAGCAGTATGAGTGAGTTTACCTTTGGGGTCATCTATGATAGTCTATTTACTAACCTACCTACTTATCTAGATTATTGTATTGCAGCATTTGCTGTCATTATCATCATCTCCGTATTCCAGTGGTTTGTGGATGGAAGCAAGAATTTCACCGGTCCTCGTACTGATATCACTATCGATGCACTGGACACCGTGCCTGCGAGAGAGGAGATGGAGTCCAGTATGCATGAAAAGGAACTTTCTGGTCGGGGCTAGCTAGTCCGGTAGTGGTATAATGAGGACACTATCATTATCAATCACTCGCCTATAGGGAAGGATTGACACTGGAGGGTCGATATATTATTTATGTCACTTTCTAACATAGGTCAGGTGGCCGATATCGTCTTCGCGCCTAGACCTGGGCAAAAACATTTGCGGACCGGATGCGACCTCGTTTGTATACAAAATTAGTGAGCTTTCTTAATTGGAGAGATAAACTTGCTGATTTATTTAAATGAAGTGCCGTTATTTAAATATTGATTTCACGTTTTACTTTACCACTACTAGCTAAATATATGTACAAAGGGAAAGGAGATATAATATACTGAAGAAAGCATGTTTTCCCAGTCGGTCCTCTTGCTAAGTAAAAATTCATGACTTGGCCGACATCACTCACTGTCTTTGGCTGGCGGAATGAGGCTGTGAATTCCGCGGGCTGCCGATACGGCAGTTCCATCGTTTTGGAACAATATCACTTTAAAATCCCCACTCCTTTAAAACTTTACTGTTTACAAATGATTCTTATCATGGGCACTCCTTATTACAACTACTCACAGGCAGCTATGGTTGTCTACCACAAATACTACCAAATGAGTAAACCAGTTTCATATTGTTCTAAACTAGCCAAGTCTACCTAACCGAGCTGCCTGGCCTTAACATCCACCACTACCACTATCACACGAGCTCGATCCATTATCACACGAGCTCGATCCACTATCATACGAACTCGAAGCAGCGGCAGCAGATGCGGCAGATGATGCAGATGATTGAGCGGCGGCGGCGGCGGCCTTCCTGCGCCACTCCTCTCTTCTTTGAGCCTCGCGATCCATGATGGGTCTAGTCTGTATAGTCTGTCAGCTTTTTAGGTAGCAGAATAGTAGAAATCGGAGAAGATACAGTTGAGTTATTGAATGTTTGGGTATGAGGTGTAGTTGAGATGCTGTGGTTTGCACCCAATTCCTATTTCATGGCTCATGGTCAGGTTCAAGTTCCAAAGCAGACAAGAAATCACGGTTCCACTTACTCGAGTCTCTTGATGAGGTTGGAAATGTCTTGAACGGAGATTAGTCGCGGGGTTTCTGGGAGTTTAAGTAGTAGACTAGCAATGGGCAGTTCCAAGGCTGACTGCGAATACAGCCCCATGTAAGTTAGCCTCGTCCACCTTGGGTTATGAGTAAGATTTGTTAGCGCAAGGCTATGCATTTGCGAACGCATTCGCACTGCATCAGCCGATTATATTTGATAATTGCAGCCATTTCATACCTATGTACTCCGTATGGAGTACTTGATTTCCTCTGCCACTTTTTGGCTTTCCATTTCTGTTTTAGTGCTCAGGTCTTGCCGCTTTTTACTCACTGAGTACAACTGAGCACGCCCCTGAGCAGTCTAATATATCCATCCATCCATGGATGGACTCAGTATCATTACATAAGCACTCTGATCGGGTACCTAAGCGGCCTAACCTGCCCAGGTGGGAGTACCGTGATTTATATATTACGTTCGGACAGGTGTTGCGAAGTTCTACAAATATGTAAAATTCGGTATACCCAGTTGTACAAATTAATATATTTAAACACAATGTCTCACATGCAAATGTGGGCATTTCAATATGTTTCAGGCCTCATTTCCACCAGTAAAAGCCTTCGCAACCTTCCAGCCACCAGAGATCAGCTCTGTGAAAACCATGTTTGGGTCATACTTGTCGCGAATTGACTGCATCTTCTTGACATTTGCCTCGGGGTAGCCTTCAAAGACATGCTGTTCCTGGTTGGCGTAGTTGAGGTACAAAAATGGTGACATCACATTGTGAAGTGTGCTCAAGTTGGCACTAACATCTGCGTTGAGCTTCTTCATGAAATCAGACATCTTTAAATCATCCGAAGCATCTGACCACAGAATACTCTCTTCGGCATATATTTAGGGGGCGCCTGAGATATCGACATCCATCGGATCTGCTCCATTGAGTCTTGAAGCAGTCAGGAACTTCTTGGTCACAGGGATGAAGGCAAGAGAAGCGATTAAGCCATGCACGGATCCAAGTTCTTGTTGAACATTGTGCAAAAATGTATCATGGATCATCTGGAGGCCTTCCCTGTTGGCTTTGATGGGAACAACATTGAAATTGGCTCGATATCCCGCAAGGAAGCTTTGAGCAGCATCAGATGCTTGAGTGTAGTTGTACATCGACGACCGGACTTCAAAGGTTGAGGTGATTGGCTGTAGAGCGTTCGTAAAGTTGACTAGTACAACAGGGGAAGAATCATCTCCGTCGTTATTTATATTCTTTCTCCATTAACATACAGTCCTTCGATGCTTTAGTTAAACAGTTGGATTTGCTACTCGTGCCGTCAACGCCCATCAAACTCCAAACTGGACTTTCGTCATTTTTGTGATCCAGTCGATGGGAATCCTTCTCGCTCCCGCTCTTCTAGCCGCTTCGATATACATAGAATTTAGTCTTCTAGTCAACCTTACGGAAGGCGAGAAGCATTCCATGGTCAGAAGAAGGTTAATAACGAAGATATTTGTCACCGGTGATCTTTTATCCTTTTTGTTTCAGGCAATAGGTAAGAGTGATCCTAGATGTAAAATATGCTAATATTGAATCAAAATTCAAAGGAGGGTCGATCCTCGCCAAACAGAATCTAAGCAATCCCAATCTTGGTAAGGTAATCATTGAGATTAGCCTGTTTTTCCAGATTATTTTCTTCGGCTTCTTTCTTATAAACGCCATTAATTTCTCTATCAAACTTCGCAAACAGCCTCCAACAAACCGGAGGTCAATGCCGTGGCAAAAACACATGGCCACACTTTTCACTGTTGGAATATTGATTTTTGACCGTTGCATATACCGTGTGATTGAGTATATTCAGGGGCCACAGGGAAACTTGATGACACACGAGATTTATATCTACATTCTGGATGCTGGCTTGATACTGATAGCAATGGTGACTTTCCACCTCTATCATCCTAGTGAGATAAGTTCACTTCTGAGAGGTGGCAAGGTTGCAGTTTTGTTTCATGTTGAAAACATCGAGCAGAAATATTCTGGCCTTCAGCTACACATGATTGGCTCTGAAGTTAATATCAACCGGAGTGTTTAACCTCTATATATCTTTAGGTGGTATTTGACATGGAAGGAAGCAGTGGATTTTCTTGTATGGTCAATATTTCGTGTTTATTAAGTTTATAATCTTCAAAGTTCAGTTGCTGACACTAAAGTATTATGATTTTGAACATACCGGGGTACAGACTGCGAGCTATACCCTGATTAGACTTCATCTTCTTGATTCTGCCTGTCCCTCTGATAAGTAAGGTAGAATACATCCTATAGCATCTAACGCTTGAGCGGGCGCTATGTTTGAGGCTAGGTATCAGTTGAACCTTGATTTTGTTCTCTGATTTGTCTATCGCGAATCGTGAGATAGACTAACGCGAGTTTGTTGCCCTTTCACTATTGAGAAAAAAAAAGAAAACGATGTACCAGGCCTCCCATCTGGCCTAGAATAGCCACCATTAGACCGACTCCATACGAGGTTATATATTTATCATTAACTGAAAATAGAGTAATGGGAGGACTGCTCTAGCTGAGAGAACATCTTCAGTTGGTAAGGATTAGAAACGAAAGAACTAGTGTTTTTTGTAGATGCGGGAAAGGGTATAATATTGTATTCCTAGGCTTCTCAGGTACGTCGACTATCATGCAGATCCCATTCTACTAATGAGGTAGCGCAATAAGAGTCCAGTACATCATGTTCCGAATTTCGCAATGATAATCCTTGCATAATGGGAATCAGCTTGCTATTATTAATAGATTGAACTCAACTTGTATTAATTTAGCAATTTACTGAGATATGGTACAAGAAATGCTCCCCAATATTTCCGGGTTATATATATAAGTACATATCTAATTCTATCCCATGATCTCTTATCATCTTGTACCCTTTACGAAGACTTATAGGACTCAGGGTTCAAAACTCCGTTTGTAGGTGGGAATTGATGCCTGAATGACTTGTTTAGCACCGCCTTTTACACCGCTCTATATAGTGTATGGTAAATTTATTAATACTACAACTGTTAAAAATGAAACTATCTTCATACAAGAAAAGTCGGCCGCATTTGCGGCCTTATGATGTCTTTTTAGATGGTCTTTTTAGATGTCTTTTTGGGCTAATTGTTTGAGATATCAAAAGCTTCATTTTTGGACTTAAACGCGAACAAAATCAGTGTACTTTGATCATGAAGATTTTTGTAATAGTAATTCAGGTATCTTAATTTGTGTCTGCCGTTCTAAAGTCAGGCATTCAGGCACTAAACCACCTACAAAAGGGGATTTGAACCCTGAGTCCTATAAGTCTTCGTAACCCTCCCCCTGCTAGTGACGCAGTGTCAGTCTAGATATCCAGTAAGCGGGCGTTATGTCCTACAAAAAGAAAAATGCCACAGTATCAATGCTCGCCAATCCCACTCCTATAGCTGAAATCCCGAACCCAATCATATACTAGATAAACGTGTATCGTGAGCTAAAATAGGCAGTGATCCCCGAGGCCGTAGACCAAGAGATACTTATAACGTGCCAATGTGGTAGATTATTGCCACGACAAACAAAATGTTACAGGCTGAACCGTCGAGATAGGTGCCTGAGGTGTTGGCCAGTGGTTTAAAATATTTAGTTGTGTAACTACCTAGTTCGGAGAGCTTGGCTCTTTTAATAAACAACTCTCTTCCTCTCTATCTAGCTTTTCGTCTTGTGAAGTCCTCCGAAAAAAAATTGGGATCATGTAGGCTCAGGGGGCACAATATGCGATCAGGGGTATAACATCAAAATTATCAAACACGCACAGAACAATGGGTTGTCGGGCAATAGTCGGGAAACCCCGTAAAGCCGAGGTGCTCTGGCGATCCTTTCGTTCCGAGCGCCATGGCGTAAAAAAGGCTGAAAAGGCTGAAATACCCCGCGGCCACCATCTCCACTGCAAAGCCAAGTGTTTCAGTTAAATGAAGAGTACGGCATAGACACATAAGTGTCTATTCCAAAGCTGAGCTGCAGTGAATAAAATCAAAGGGACAACCAGCAATCCCATATGAGATAGGCGAATTAGTATTCGTAGAAATATCCCTAGAATTATGCATCTTTCATTTGTCCTGCACATCGATCTACATAATCTTCTGGGCCTAGAAGTTTTCGGTTGGCGGAAATATATCGGGCGTTGTATCGTTCAGCCAACCGACCGCCAAGCCCAGAATCTCCTCAGAGGCGTTGCGAGGGCTTGACCCTGCATATCAATGTCAAATTTAACCGTGATATCTTTTGGCAGCCCCGGTCACCCTTTCTACACTTGGCAGCGTCGATGCTGATCATCTATACAAAGGCCTAGCTGAGCCAGATTCTTCACAGAATTCCCTATCCAATAAAACAGCTATTCATGATTGGCGTTCTTGTCCGCACCCTGTAGAAATAGTAGGATCAGATCTTGTACAGCAAAAGCCCAACTCGGGAATGAGTGAAGTACGAAATAATGAGACATGAGAATATAAAAGGGCCTATCCCCAACACTTGGTTTAGTCTGTATCCGATTCCAATCATTCACTTTGCTTCTAACAAACTACATATTCCCTCAACATCATGAAGTCTGCTGCAGTTGTTCTTATGGGCTCATTGTCTACCATTGTTGCTGGACATGGCTACCTTGTCACGCCAGACAGCCGGACCAAGCTCGGATTTGAGGTTAGACTCTTGCATGAGTTGAGCATCAAGAATATTCCTTTGACTAACGGTATTTAGGCTGGAATTGACACATGTCCTGAGTGCACCATCCTCGAGCCCGTTTCCTCTTGGCCCGATCTTGACGTAGCGCCAGTTGGCCGCAGCGGACCCTGCGGCTACAATGCCCGTGTGAGCGTCGACTACAATCAACCTGGCAGCGACTGGGGTAAAGATGTGGTCAATACTTACAAAGCTGGTGATGTCATTGACGTCGTGTGGTGTGTTGACCACAACGGTGATCATGGTGGCATGTTCAGCTACCGTATCTGCCAAGATCAAGCTATCGTGGACAAATTCCTGGATGCGGACTACCTGCCCACTGACGAAGAGAAGCAGGCGGCCGAGGCCTGCTTCGACGAAGGTCTTCTTGAATGCACCGGTGTCGATGGACAGACCTGCGGCTACAGTGCTGACTGTGGTGAGGACGAAGCTTGCCACCGCAATGACTGGTTCACTTGTAACGGCTTTGATGATACCAAGTGCCAAGGTGTCGACAATTCTGAGCTTGGCTCCTGCAAGACAACAATCGCTGGCGGTTATACTGTCTCGAAGAAAATCAAGATTCCGGAGTACGTCTCAAACCACACTTTGCTTTCTTGGAAGTGGAACTCTTTCCAAACTGGTCAGATCTATCTCTCCTGTTCCGACATTGCTATCCAGTAAGGGAATTTCCAATTACCTGGTACCTACATAGGTATTAATAGCAGAGATGAAAGAATCTCGAAGGGACAAGGAAAAGGATCATGAGATACAAGAAATACTGAGTCGTTTAACGCATGTCATACAAAGCATATATTCAGGGCTACTGTACATGTATATACCGAGTTGCAGCAATCTAAGATTATTGGCTTATTAGAAATTACACAGAATTGATCCATTAATTTCAGTAGACAGAGTCTAGATATTTGCAAACAATACGTGAGATCCTTACAAAGCCGATAGTATCAAGAAACCGACACTTCCAGCGATGGTCCAAGAGGGAACGATCAAAGAAGACCCCATTCCAGGCTTCACGTCACTCTCTGCTGTACCAGTCGCGCTACTTGTTGCAGTAACATCGCTCCCACCAGTAGTCTTTGTATTTAAGGTACGCCAGGGCACCATGTGGCTGGAGCCACAGGGTTCACGCGGAATATTAGTGCTGACATGGGGCTCGAACAGGTCCAATCAGGTCCAATCAGGTCCACAGAGATATTGGCATAAACAACCTCCTCTTTTCCTGATTTGGAGTCATTTACGTCATTTACGTCTGCTCGTCTGATTTCCCCCCTGTAAACTAAGCAGGAAATGCCAAGCTGGAGATTAGGGCTGCCAAGCCCAAACGGATCCTGTTAGTGCTAGCTCCAGCCTATTATGGTGAGTCCGAACCCGATAGATAGCTTCGCTGGTTTCATTCTAAGATGCACGATGGTATAGTGGAGCTTCTTAGGAGAAGATTTCGGTCCCTTGCTTTCGGAATCTCCAGCTCACATGTACTTCATGTACTTTTTGTACTTTACCCTTTAGATAAGACCATTTCTTTTTCTCCGTTTGCTCTGCTTTGCCGTTTGTTCTCAGTCTGTGCCGAATCGCTAGGAAATACCACATAAAGCACAAACGATTTGCTAAACACCTTGCATTTCATTCAAAAGCTGACATGCAACTCACGATGGCATTTATAAACCCCTATCTACCTTGCTCATTTGAACGAAGAGAATCTTTCTCACTTCGCCATGACTGTAGAGAAATCCATTGCTGGCGCGAAGGCTCCTGCTCTTGCCCAACCTACCACCAATATAGTCAAGATGAGCGAGCACGATTTACAGAAGACACAAGATCAATATGATGTGGAACGGAAGAAACGCCTACGCCCTGATGGACCAACTCAATATGTGGGCTTGACCGATGAACCCACGAGCAATCTCCATTCGAATGGAAATGTCGCGATGGACAACAATCTGCTCCAGCAGAAGGTCCGAGTGCTCATTGTGGGTGCTGGATTTGGCGGACTGCTGTTTGCAGTGCGACTGCTCCAGTCGGGATTTCTCCGCGCGACTGAGATCCTCTTCGTGGATACAGCAGGTGGTTTTGGGGGAACATGGTGGTGGAACAAATATCCCGGCTTGGCCTGTGATGTCGAAAGTTATACTTATATGCCTTTGCTGGAGGAAACAAAGTACATGCCGTCACAGAAATATGTCACCGGACCTGAGTTGAGAGAACACGCAAATCGCATTGCCGATCAATGGAATCTCAGTGAACGGGCTTTATTCCAGACCACGGTTAACAACTTGGCTTGGAAGAACCAGGATTGTCAATGGACAGTCCATATTACACCACATGGCCAGTCACCCACTGCAATACAATCTGATTTTGTTATCTTAGCTACCGGGTTGCTGAATTCCCCGAAAATTCCAAAATTAGACGGACTTGACACCTACAAGGGGAGGGTTTTCCACACCTCGCGCTGGGACTATGATTATACTGGAGGAACACCAAACAGCCCAAATATGCAGGGACTACAGGACAAGACAATTGGATTTGTCGGAACAGGCGCATCTGCCATCCAAGCAATCCCACACCTCGCGCAGTGGGCAAAGAAAGTTGTTGTGTTTCAACGCACACCGTCTTCTGTCGACTGGCGTAACAACCACTCCACTGATCGCACCTGGTGGGCGAAAATGGTCCAAGAAGGCGGCACTGGGTGGCAACGAGACCGCATGGAGAATTTCAACGCCTTCCCCTCGAACGAGAATCCTCTCCCAGATATAAACCTTGTCGATGATGGTTGGACCAAGATGCAGTCATTCAGTGTACTCATCGGGAGTCCCTCTGGCCTTGACCCAAACCATCTGACACGGATGCACCAATTGGACCTACATCGCCAAGAAGCGATCCGCCGTCGCGTGGAAACCACAGTGACCGACCAAGCGACTGCTCGAGTTTTGAAGCCGTGGTATCCCGGGTGGTGCAAACGGCCATGCTTCAGTGACAACTTTCTCCCAGTGTTCAACCGGCCCAATGTTTCCCTAGTGGACACTGATGGAAAAGGTATCCGGACCGTGACAGATCGAGGGATCTTGGCAGATAGCCAAGAGTATGATTTGGATGCCATCATTTTTGGGACCGGCTATAGTCTTGGAGGTAGTGCTGATCGCGGGGACCTGACTGTCACCGGGCGTGACAACCAGGTCCTCCAGGGGAAATGGCAGAAGGGGCTGAACTCACTCCATGGAGTAATGACCAACGGATTTCCCAACTTATTCTTTCCTGGTCCGTATCAAACAGGAGCTTCAGCAAACCAGGTCTATGTTCTCGATCAGCTTGCCGTTCATGTCGCCCACATCATCTCGGAAGCCGGCAAACTAACCTCGGAACGAAACCCAAATGTCACCGTTGCCCGTTTTACCGTTGAGCCTAGCTCTGAATCGGAAAGCGAATGGACTTCCAAGGTTTTGATGAGGGCGCGAGCACTAGGAGGTGTTCTGAATTGCACTCCAGGGTACTTCAATCGGGAGGGGCTCCAATTTAATGAGGGTGAAGCCTTTCTGGCGGCACATTTCAGTATCTGGGGGGAGGGGATTAAGAGTTATGTGAAAGAGATTGAGGATTGGCGACAGACAGGCGGGTTGGCCGGACTTGATATTCAGTTCCGACATGACGCGTAGCTTGTTGGGATCAACATTTTGATTTTAAAATTTGTTGGTTTCAATGTTATTGTTTTTTTTTAATTACAACTTGACCTAGTACCTAGCGGTGTAACGAGGAGCCATGGAGGCGAATCTTGATGCAGGTGCAACCGAACACTCAGGTCTCGGCCTCGAGACCCCTGTACGGAGTATGGAGTACAACGTACTCCGTACAACATAGCACAATCAAGACCCAATCCACGGTACTCAGAAGATTTATCAAAATGAATGTGTCAGATTTAACCATAGAAAAACAATGAATACCACGAATCATATTCGAGTTCATGTATTGATATCCCAAAAGGGAAACTTTATGACATGTAAAGTAATAATATAACATGTCTGTACCGGTGACCAGATCCAGTGTTCAAGACAAGTGCCGACGTAGTATTTCCCCCCAGAAAGACTAATCCAAAGCCGGGAGATCCGGAGACTTCTCCATGTTTTCAAGGTCTAATGAGTATGGAGTAGTACACAAGTACATCTTACTCGGGAACTACCGAGTCAAACCCCGCGTATCGATATTTTCCCCTCAAAAAGGAAGAAGAACCTCCGTTCTAACGGAAAGTGCTCACCGGCATCGGGGATGATATCCTCGGCTCGCTCCATTCTCTCGTTTTTTTTCGGCCGGGGAAATGCAGTTCCTTAGCTCCCCAACTTCCCAATTTCGGTCCCCATCGTACGGCCAATGTGGGTCACTCGTGGCACCATTTCAACCTTTCAGCCGAAAATATATGGCCAGTTTCCTATGGATCGGTACCTTTGTACTCCGTAAGCCGAGCGTTGACCCGTGGACCGGGCACGGGGTAGCATTTGCTGTATTTGGCCACTCTAGAGTTGGGCAGGTAACCGGGGGAAGGTTCAGAAGTTGAATAGAGTCACATCTTGCGACATCGAATAGCATGCCACGGCCAAGCGTGCCGTCGAGTCAACACAAAGCAGCTAAGACAACAATCAAAGAATTCTCCCGACAATCACCCGGTCGTTCATTTTGTGGCGGTAATCGGCACGGGACAAACTGTGAAAAACTTGACTTCACGTGAGAGCCAAGACAAAATGCGGAGATAAAAAGTTAAAGCAGTTGGGGCCCCCCGTGTGTAACTGGCTGGTTTCCCCGTGGGAGAAAGTCGGAGAAAGCCTCGAAAGCCCCATCTCTGCCATCTGAAATCTTGTGTTCTGAGAGACCCACTAACAGGCTCGGCAATGCCCGAACTACGAGCCATGACGGTGTTGATCTTTGCCTTTTAATTGCGTTTTTTTTACTAGGAACATGAACAGTTTGACAGGGTAAAACAGTAGTGATCATTTAACTAATCTACTGGGATTATGCTTACTGTATACCCTGTCTATGTTAGTAGTCAGCTTGACTTCCGCCAAGACTTGTCTTTTCCGCTCAAGTAAAGGGGAGAGTGGGATTTAGTGGCGTCCCAAAGGTCCGTGCTTTTGGATGGCTTGCCCTCAATGTGACATTGATGTGAATATACCCAACGGAGTAGTGGTTTTTTAGTTTGGAAGTGTTGGAACTGTCAACTGCAGTCCCCTCAGGTCACCAGACTCATATCTGAGCCACATTGTCATTACCGAATAAGCTAGAGCTAGACATTACCTGGATAGGTACTAGTGAATAAAAATAACGTGGGGAAGAAGATATTTCCGGGGTTATGGACAGGGTAGGAGTCTCAGTCAAACAAAAAAAGTATTTGTGGGGCACGTGGCACTCTCCATGGAAAATCAACCAATCAAAACTTTTTCCCCGCGGACGCTCTATCCCAAAGTGGACATCTCCGGTTTCTCAACCCGAGGCTCTGTTTGGTTCTGAGACGTTTCCTTAGCAAGCTAGTCCTTTTTAGAAGGCTTTTTTTCACTTTGACCCTTTTCTAGCCGATGAGACAGGGATCAGCGGATCACTTCTGGGGGGTTCTAGCCAATCAGATCCTTCCAATCCTATGATTTTACGGCTTGGGCCGTGCAGCACTTCCCCGGTTTTCTATACTTGCCGTTTCTATCGCGTGGTCAAAATTCTAGAGCCGACTTGGCTACACAGTCATTACAGCCGATTTCTAGGTTTGCTGTGTTTTAGGCCGACAGTGACCAAGCCAAATATGGATTAGATGAGATTATAATTTTTTCCCTGTAGTTTTGCTTTTTTTTTTCCCCGGGACATGGGGGAGGTCTGGGGATGACCTGAGATATAAAATATAAATCTTCTCTTTCCCCCCCCTGTTCCTTCCTCCCCTCTTCTTCTATCGCCATCTCTTACTTCCCATTATCTTCCTTTGAGACATCTCACTTCGTCTCTTTCTGGTTTTCTTAAACACTTCTACCCTCATCAAGTCGCTACCATGCCTGGTGGAGCGGTCATCTCTGGGCCTGTCGACAGCACCCGCGTCGAGGCCCCGGTCACATTCAAGGCCTACTTGATGTGTGCCTTTGCTGCCTTTGGTGGTATCTTCTTCGGTTATGATTCTGGTTACATCAGCGGTGTTCTCGGCATGGAGTATTTCATCGAGCACTTCGAGCATCTTGTGAGTGTCAATGACTCCCAACAGTTCTGAGAATTCCACTAACCGCATCTTAAGGACCCCAACACTACCCCTACCAACCTTTTCGTCATCCCTTCCTCCCGAAAGTCGCTTATCGTCTCCATTCTCTCCGCTGGAACTTTCTTTGGTTCCCTCATTGCCGGTGATCTGGCTGATTGGTTCGGTCGTCGGATTACTATCATCGCTGGCTGCGCTATCTTCATCGTTGGTGTCGTTTTGCAGACTGCTTCTACCAGCATTGGACTTCTCGTTGCTGGTCGTCTCGTTGCCGGTTTCGGTATTGGATTTGTCTCCGCTATCATCATTCTCTACATGTCTGAAATTGCGCCGCGCAAGGTCCGTGGTGCCCTTGTCTCGGGTTACCAGTTCTGCATCACTATTGGACTGATGCTGGCCTCGTGTGTGAACTATGGCACCCAGAACCGTACAGACAGTGGGTCGTACCGGATCCCCGTTGGTCTCCAGATGCTCTGGGCTGTTATCTTGGCCATCGGATTGTTCCTGCTGCCCGAGTCCCCTCGATTCTTCATCCGCAAGGGCCAGAAGGATAAGGCTCGCACTGTGCTGGCCCGTATCCGTGGACAGCCCGAGGATTCACACTTTGTCGAGATGGAGCTGAATGAGATTGACGCCAACAACCAGTATGAACAAATGGCAATCCCCCAGGGTGGATACTTCAGCACCTGGCTCAGCTGCTTCAGCGGAAGCCTTTGGCACCCTAACAGCAACCTTCGTCGTACTGTCCTTGGTACCTCGCTGCAGATGATGCAACAGTATGTCTCACTCCCCTCTCGTCTGCTATTGAATATGTACTAATGAGCCATAGGTGGACTGGTGTCAACTTCATTTTCTACTTCGGTACCACTTTCTTCAAGGAGCTCGGCACAATTGATGACCCCTTCCTGATCAGCATGATCACCACAATTGTCAATGTCTTCTCCACCCCCGTCTCCTTCTACACTATTGAGAGATACGGACGTCGTCCTTTGCTCCTTTGGGGTGCCCTGGGTATGATTGTCTGCCAGTTCATTGTCGCCATTATTGGTGTCACCGATGGCAGCAACACTAAGGCCGTCAGTGCAATGATCGCTTTCATTTGCATCTACATCTTCTTCTTTGCCAGCACCTGGGGTCCCGGCGCTTGGGTCGTGATCGGTGAAATCTTCCCTCTGCCCATCCGGTCCCGCGGTGTTGCCCTCTCCACCGCCTCCAACTGGCTCTGGAACTGCATCATCGCAGTCATCACTCCTTACATGACCGATGCTGACAAGGGTAACCTTGGCGCTAAGGTGTTCTTCATCTGGGGTTCTCTGTGCACCTGCGCCTTTGTCTACACCTACTTCCTCATCCCCGAGACCAAGGGTCTTACCCTTGAGCAAGTTGACAAGATGATGGAAGAGACTACTCCTCGCACTTCCGCCAAGTGGAAGCCTCACAGCACCTTTGCTACCGATATCGGACTGGACGAGAAGGCTGAGCACGCACCCAGCGTGACCCAGCAGGAGGTCTAATCCATCGGACTGTTTCTGTTATGGTGGTTCTCTTGTTCTCTGCCTTTCACGTAGTTGTGGCCCACTCTCAGTGGGGTTTGCTTTAATTTTTGCCTCTTTAATGCGTTGACGGTTTTATGCGCCATTGCCCCCCGATATCCACGAATATGCATTTAACATAATCAATTAATTATGATGGCTTTTGATACGATTTTCCTCTTAATTTGTGTAAGCAACCATTCTAGTTCCAAGATGCTCGGTACGTAAATTTTCCACATAAATTAGGGACATAAGCTCAATCATATTGATAATTACTATCCTTGGTAGAAGAATAGAAGAATATACCAGTTGGAGAACAACCTCGAAGAACACGCAGTCGAGGTAGAATTGCCTGTAAGCGGTAGAGGAGACAACCTGGGGAATAAGAGAGCGGGAGATTACGGAGGGTGCAGCACATGCAGACGCCAAGAACAAATAACCATGTACAACATAACTAAGTACATAAATAAAGATAAAATGGTCAGGGGGCGTGTCGCCATGTAAACCTGCCCCGAAGTTGTACCGGAACTGATGATACGTTACTCCGTATTCTCTCATAACGTAAAGTTGAAACCTACATACAATACGGAGTACAGATAGCAAGCAATTGCCAAGCCTTTCCTGTGCTTATGTCACTGTCTTGGCAAAATCCAAGGTCCCAACATCATTAGGTTGTACGGAGTAGTACTCTTGACTTGATAAGGATAGGTCTTTCACATGTGCCTGGCTTTGCATTGGTCAGAATATGAGGTTGCCTAGCAGTAAGTCTCGGAGTGTGATATGCCTTTTATTGATTGTTGACACAAATATCCAGCTAAACTTTGGAGGCTATCGGGGCTCCATTCTCCGCTGACTGATCTCGCCGGGACCTCGGGACGGGACCGCCAAGACCGAATACGTATACTACCACGCACGTTAGCACGAAGATTTCCTCATGCGCCCCGTCTCGCCGTTACATCACAGTTTTGAGGTTCTGGGCTTGTTTGGAAAATTCATTGGCGGACAAGTACTCCGTATAGAAGACCTACCTTTCATCTGTCATTGAACCCATCCATGACGAGTCAGGGACGCATACGCTACCCAGCCATATCATTGGGTGGTCGCCGATGGAGACAAGTGCTCGCTTGATCTCTGGTGGCTATGCCTCTGCGAGTACCCCTTTCACATCTACAGATCTAGACGGATCAGCCCTGGATTGGACGAGTGGGGCCTCGTCATCATGGTCGATCACTTGGTCTAGTACCGTGCAGAGAAAGACTTGTTCTATGAATACCATATTTAGGCCGCGTCCTTAATTCCCCGCATGGGAAACTTCGACGACCTCAATGGCTAGTTTGTTCTTGGCAGGAAAATAGTGCCAGCATGATCGACGGTGGATTCATCAGAGTTGGTTAGAGTTGCTGCCGAACCAAGCCTCTGGCTCTTTCATAACCCACTGATGTCCTATCAACTGCAAGCAATTGCACCCCTTCGCCCTTTGAGGGTTTCATTAATGGATGGTTGAAGCTCCGCTGCGGGGCCCTACAGTCACGACAAAGCCCTTTCTCGATGAGAAATGTTGCGCGTTTCATTTGTCAATTCAGGCGCAGGACTACTCCATATCCCTCGTCAGCTTCATAAAAAAGTCGTTTATCTCAAGCGGGTCTATCCTAAATCTAGCCATGCTCCGCCTCTTGGTGTTTCCAGATGGGCATTGAGAAGGTATAAAACACCCCAAGGCACCCAGCTGTAGTATCCCCAACTCCCTCACTCACATTCAACTTTACCTACCTCAATACCTCAATCATGGTTCATCTCGCATCTGTTGTTGCCATCGGCCTGACTGCTCTGACTGGCATTGTGTCCGCTCACCCCGGACATGATGTTAGAGCTGAAGCTGCCGAGCGAGCTGAATTCTTGAAGAATGCCCCTATTCACTCGCGCAGCCTTGCCCAATGTTCCTCTCGCCTTCAGCGTCGAGGCCAGCAAGACCGAAACGTCGCTCGTCGCCACATGGCCGTGAAAAACATTCGTCGCCGCCTTGGTCTTCAGCCTAGTATGTTTTAAGTCAAGTCCAAACACTATCACATTCTAACAACCCGATAGCCAGCCAACTACTCAAGGCGCGCTCCGATAGCGCCCTAGATACTTCGCATCACTCCAACCTCACTGGAGTCGAACCTTCTACCGACCCCGATGTGCTGTTTGGCACCGATGCGACCTGCATTCTCGCACCTGATGTGACCCAGGGACCTTACTGTTAGCTTTCCCTTTCTGTTTTATCCTTGAATTATACTAATTCAGTCTAGATGTCACGGGTGAGCTGGTTCGTAAAAACATGGCGGAGTCCCAGGAGGGTATTCCTCTCTACATGGACATCCAGTTGATCGACACCAACACCTGCGAACCCATTCCGGAGATCTACATGGATTTGTGGCACTGCAACTCCACCGTAAGCAAATTATCCACCTCAAATCTCACTATATTACAGCAAGAGTCGACCCACTAACATCGATCATCATAGGGTGTCTATTCTGGAGTCGTTGCCAGTGGAAACGGCAACTCTGGGGATGAGACTAACCTCAACACGACCTTCCTCCGCGGCATCCAGAAGAGTAACAGAGAAGGAGTCGTCCAGATGCAAACAACCTTCCCAGGTCATTACACTGGCCGTGCAACTCACATCCACGGTATGATACCCAGATACAAGCCTTCCCCTCCATGTTATTGTCTGATTTTCCTCTACTGTTTCTTCTTGTTTACATGGATGAGGCTTTGCCACACGCTGCCAATTGAAATCAATTTCGACATTTACTAACTTCATCAATAGTCCTCACCCACCCAGCCAACGAGACCACCGTTCTTCCAAACGGAACTCTCTCCGGTCTGTACAGCTCCCACTCGTCGCACGTTGGACAAATTTTCTTCGACCAGGACCTCATCTCCGCTGCTGACGAGATCTCCCCGTACTCCACCAACACTCAGGAGGTGACCCTCAACTCCGACGACAGCATTCTCAGCGAAGAGCTCGATACCATTGACCCATTCATGGAATACGTGTATCTTGGTGATGATCTCTCTGATGGAATCTTCGCTTGGATCTCGGTTGGTATGGACCCTACCGTCGACACAACTGTTTCCCCTGCAGCTTACTACACCGAGGAGGGTGGTGTTGCGAATGAGAATTCCGGTGCTGGTATGGGTGGCGGTGGTGGCGGTGCTCCCTCAGGTTCCTTCAGTGGTGCTGCCCCCACTTCCTCGCCCACCTCCGTCTAAATGAGACGGCGTGCGCTTGTTTCTCGACTGCAGTAAATGGGTAGATTACACAGATGTTTATTCCATGTTCCCGTATAGTTTTTTTGTCTCCACTGTCACAATATTACAGAGATATTTTCTGATGGGTTTTGCCTTGCTCTTCGTAACGAGCTTGTAGCCGTAGTTTCGGGGGATTTTTCATTGCTTCATCGTCTGAGGTATTTGAAAGACTGTGGGAAGGCAAGGGGCTGGTTTCCCCTAGCTCTGTTTTGAGTCCTCTAGTAAACGTATCATACGGTTTATATGGTTTTTTTTTGCGCTGAATTGTAGGCCATTGGATGGGGATTGTTGCATCCATTGAATTTCTGAGCCCACTCAAAAGCTCGGTGGTGATTTTGGCCTCATAGAATAAGACATATTCCCGTTCTAATAAGTTGGTCGCCAATTTATGTGGGATCATGTATCGGGCGATATCCGAATAGTAACCAGGTTGATAGTTTGTTTTGGATTTTTTTTAGTAGGACAATGTATAACCTCAGTATAGTTCATTTCTATCTTATCTATACTCTTGGGAAGCAGCATAATACAGAATGAACCAATTTGCATGGTTTAATACTATCAAGATCCTTTGGCCATAGACCGTAGACCGTAGATATAGAACCATAATAGAAAAAGGCTTTGCATTTGCAGGTCAAACCAAACTAATTTTCAACCTTAGAACGGTAGTTATTGACAGCTAACAAGTTCATTTGAGCTGAAACATATATTTGTCCAATGATGTATTCCGTGGACTATCGGTTGAATGTTATGCATTACTTGAGACAATTTTCAGAACATAATTTTTCAATTACAGTAGATTATTACGCTATCGAAGAAGTTTATCAAATCTGATTTCTGTCTGGTATGGATTTAGGAACAATTTTACTTGGTACAAGAGACAAGAGACTGCTGGCATTGGTACATAGTACATAATAAAATACACAGCCCTCTTCCAGTCCCAGCCATACGGACAGTACATTCATTCATTCCATTAACGGCCTCGGCCTCGCGTTCTTCGTGTTGGGCGAGGTGCATATTCAGGTTCTGAGTCTTCGGCGTTGCCATTATCCACCTCGTTATCTGAACCCGAGGAGATAGACACAGGCGGGGAGTTTGCAGCAGGAGATCTAGGTTCGAACGGCTCGTTGCTATCAAGGTCATCGGCATCAGTATGAGACGGGCCTGCATGGCTCAGCTGCTGATCATGGTGTTCGACAATCAACCCATCATCATCCGCATCATCTTCATGGCCAGGAAGAAGAAAGCCACCGCCATGATCAATCGCGTTATATGACGACTCCCGATCAGGCATGTCTTCATCGACACCATTATCATCCGATTCCTCCTCCCGCTTCTTCTTCTGTACAGCGAAGGGATTATGCGAATCGCGCTCTCGATCAGCAGCTGGATCCCCACCCCCATACTCATCCCTCACCCGTTCCATAATCCGTAGCCCAAACAAAAACTTCCTCCATGTCTGCAGAATCTTCTTCTCGGCCTTAAGCTCTTCCCTCTTCCTCTTCTCCGCAGCCTCAACCTTCCAAGCATCCCGAAGTAAATCCTCATTCTCGGCCGCAACTACAACACCCTGAATGACTGGCACAGCCATCTTTGACCCAAACTCGAACCCCGTCACTGCCTCCGCATAGTCAATACCGAGCTTCTTGCACACCCGCACGGTACCAGGTAAGGGGACATGCGCCGCGCCCGCGGGGACCATACTCGGCACGAAACAGTCGATATTGCCATATTCGTTCTTGGGGATGCGGCCGTCCTGAATAGGTGGTGGGATGATGTACTCTGTCTGGTCGCGCGCATACAGACCCTGCAAGGGTTTTTCGCCGGTCTGACGGTGCAGTTCGTCGACTTCGCGTTTGCGTATGAGCGTCACGGCGCGAATGGGCACACGCTTGAGGGCTACAGCCCCCGGTTTTGTCTGGCGGCCTTCTTTGTGCCAGCTTTCGGCGGAGAGGCATTTTAGCACGTCTGCTCGTCGGAAGACGGGTTCTTCTTTAGCCCGGGCGCCTTTCCCGGCGATGAAGGTTCGGACGGGTTCGGCGCCGGGGCGGAGGGCTTCTTCGCGGCGGAGAAAGCGCTCTAGTACGAACTCAGCCGATGTTCGGAGGCTTTGGAGAGTGTCAACAGTTTGCGTTGTTTTCTTCTTTTCGGGTTGGTTGGGTTGCAGATCTCGGGTTTCTTCGAGTTTGTCGACTGCTGTTTTGCTCTTGCGGGCTCGTTGGTACCCGCGCATTACCATCCCAAACCAGTCGAAGGCGATGTAGTGCCCGCGTGGACCTACGGGTACTTTTTCCAAGGGCATTCGGAAGCCCTTCGTTTTCCCGGGCCAGGTCCGCCGTCGAAGGTATCTTGTTGTAACCTCTTTAGCAGTACCATCTGACGAGTGGGCGACAACATAGCATATGACTTGTTTCGCTTTGTCTGCTTTGGCACCACGAGGCTCGAAGTTTGCTTGTAGATCGGTATCTGCAAATGGTGCCACGGGGTTGGAAAGTACAAGCGGGTCGACAGATATGATCTCATTCGTAACGGGTGAGGCAACTTCGGTCCAGTAGATAGGAAATGGCAGATCCTTGTCAAACTGTTTGCGCTTGTTCTTCGCTGGTAGTTTAATTTCAGCTGCATCAGTCTCAGACTCGGATCCTTCCGACTCCTCTTCATTTTCGGGGTCCTTAACTGCCTTAGAAGGTGTGGGAGGTGTGGGAGGTGTGTAGGTCTCTCCCTTGGTCCAGCCAAAACCCAGCGGCTGTAGGCTACCCACGAGTCTGGCCTCGATTCCTAGAGCACGGACAAGAGCCGTGAAGAGCTGTGCGCCGACATCCCGCGAGCCCTGCATACGCTCGGCGGTCGCACGGAACTCGTCGAGGTTGGCAATACGCTCACCATGGCGCTCTGGGTCATGCTCTTCCTCGCGAAAGTCGGTGATGGCAGTCTCAAGGGCAGAGACCGGTCGGTATCCGTACTTTCGCAGTCCTGGCGCTGAGATGCGAAACTGCTTCCTCCAGTATGCGACTAGCACCTTGATCAATGTGATGATTGGATCGCCACGGCTCATATCCGGCTGACCTGGTTCCAGTCGCTCCGACTCATCGCTCCAGTCTTTATTTTTCTGGGCCTTTTTGCCCTTCTTCTTACTCTTGGGTGGTTCGGGTTTTGGTTCTGGGAGTTCTAGGCCCGATGCTATGCGCCATTTCTTGACTTCCTTGTGTATCCCTTCCGGTAGCTTTTTGCGCAGAATCTCATGGACCTTGGGATCGTTGCTCCAGGCGTTGCGGATAGCGTTGTGGAAAAGCAAGCATTGAACATGCATACAGTGTGTCTGGATCCGTATTTGGCGCTCAATTTTACTAGGTCCTTTTTTGCCATCTAAAAGATCCGACACGTGTGTCTCATTTTGATCTAGGGTCAATTCTAGGTCCTGTAGCTCTGGGGCTGCGACGGTGGGGGTAATGGCGCCGCTCTTTGTGTCTATCGCATCCTCCCAGTCAATGTCCTCTTCTTCATCTTCGGATTCCTCAGATACAGGAGCATTATCCTTGTTGAGGAGCCCATCAGGTGCGTCGCTCAAAGAGCTGGAATCGGAGTCGGAGTCGGAGAGGTGGAACGGAGCTTGGGGAGGGGGAGCTTGAGAATTATCGGGCCGGGCCTGGCGCTTGGCCGGGGGCGGGTCCTCGGAGGATATGCGCTTGCGGGGGAGGAAGGGTGGCATGCGAATGAATGTGAAGATGTGAAGATGTGAACTAATAAGGAAGTTCGCCGAATGTCGGAGATGGAAGATGAAGGGATGTAAGTCGTCATCGGCCGAGGTTACCCATGTGTGCACTTTACTTGACTTTCTTTACTCGCAACTTTTTGCTATTACCTACTTGACCACTTATCAACTTAAAAGACTATTTGACACTCTGAGATAAATCAATTTACTTGATCAAATTATTCAAATTATTCAAGATATCATGGCAGCAGTCAAGCGATTCTTCTCTTCCCCCCGCTTTGCGGTGGCGGGGGCCAGCAATGACACTCAAAAGTTCGGATACAAGAGTAGGGGAACATACTCTGTTGGAATTTGTATAGAGAACTAAATCATTATAGTCCTCGCCTGGTATCATCAACACTCCCTACCAGTGACACCGCTCAATCCCCGAGCAGCGCAGATCACCCTCCCCTCGCATGCTTACGATACAGTCCCCTCACCCGCCAGTTTGCCATCGCCGGCGCAGACTTCCCTCTCAGTGGTGACTCCCCCGGCTGTGACCCTCCAGGTGCTGCAGGAAGCGCACTCGGTAGGGATCCCTGCAGTTTGGTTACAGCCTGGTACCTTTAATGATCAAGTGCTGGAATACGCTCATGGTCACTTTGAGGCGGTGATTGCGGGAGATGGAGGGCAGGGTAGCGAGGGATGGTGTGTGTTAGTTGATGGTGATGAGGGATTGGAAGCAGCTGGAGTACAATGGACTAGCCAGCGATTGTAATTTCCATCCAAAAAATGTATGGGATATATGAGAATGTTATGTAGGGGGTTTAAATAGTGTGAGACAAAGAGAAAGTGACTTGTAAGGAAGGCTAATCCTGACACGGCCAATATCCAACCTCTCGCTTTTTTTTTTCTTTCTTCAGAGATTCCTTCTCTTTTTTTCTCCGATTTTGATCTTTTTGATCTTGCATCTTGCATCTTTTTGTCTTACTCTCTTATTTCCTTCCAAAATGCCCGACATGCACGCTCTATTCAACTCTGCTTCACCACCTAAGCTTGACCTCTCAAATGCGCCTTCTCAGCTATTCCAAGTCCCAGCCTCCACGGCTTCCACGTCGCTCTATTCTCTCTCTGTCAGTCGCAAGCGACCACGTCGTGACACAGAAAAGCTTTCGTCGCACTTTGAGTGCAATTTCACCGAGTGCCCGATGATCCACCCCAGCTACCGCTCAGTAAGCGTAAGTGGAGGCAACGATTTCCTCGCGTCGGCCGAGCTAGATTACCGTCCAAACCGATACCGCGAATCCTTCCTCCCACCCTCCTTCGATTCCAGCGACGAGTCAGCAAACCTAGCAGACTACAACGGCAGTCGCAAGCGCAGCCGCCGCGACTCTGGCATCATAGCCCCAAGCTCCGATGGCCCCAATACCACAACACCCACAGGCTGGGGCCAGACCGTGATCAAAGCTGTGAGCAAGGTCCTCGATCTATGCTGGACGGGCGCATTCCGAGGGTTCTACGCAGGAGGAGGACAGGGTTACGACCTGTCATCCAGCCCGGTAACAACTCTCGAATCCAGCTGGCTACCCTCAACCAGCCCATCCACCGAAAAAGACATGTACAGCCCGAACACATTTTGCTCGACACCCGTCCCCGGTCAATATCCAGATGACGAGGTCGATCGGAGCTGGGTCGTGGTCCCCGAGAGCTCGGATCCATCTGTGGGCAGCAGCGAGCTTGCTAGCCCGTCACTTCGCACACGACGCGCTTTCCAGGCATCGAGCCCTCGTCGCAAATCCGCCGTGATGCCCCGGCTCGCTAAACGGGTCGCTTACTCTTCTACCGGACTCCACTCGCCTACTAAGGGACAGGGAGGTCTGCAATCCCCTCGGTTGAGGGATACTCCTGCATCTGCTGATATTCAGCGACAGGCTGCTAAGATGCGCCGCAAGGAACGAGAAGAAGATGCCAGTATCCAGCGATTGAATAAGCAGTTACAGGCCATGATCCGGGAAGGGAAAGAGGCGTTGGGAACGACGGTGATAGTGGACGATGTGGACATGTATGATGACTCTGATTAGGCTGGTCTTTGTCTTTCAGGGCATCATGTTCCGTCTCGAGTGGTGCTCTATTTGATTTCATCGCGTGTAACGACCTGATACCCCCCAAGGGCGCTCTTTAACTGGGTGGTCCGGACCGGAAACCCCGGTTTTGATTTGACTACGATTAACGATTTCTATGTTTTGCTTTCTTTCCGTGCGCTCCTTGCAGCTTCGTCTGCCTGTCTCATTACATTGCAGGGTTTTCCTGCGGGTTTTCGTGTCCATACTTCAAAATTGTCTGTGTTCTACTCGCTAAAGCTTCGGTTTATTGTTGAATCAAGGGAAGCATTTCACATTGTTTGAACAAGTAAATAACAACTCAACAACACAACATAACCGAACTGCGCATCCCCAATATCGCCCGGCTAGCCTAACTAATTTCATGAAAATCCTGACCACGATCTGTTCGACCAAAAGAAGTGAACAAAACATATGGGGGTTATCCCCGTACAGCTTACTCAGAAGCAGGACCAGAGCCCTTTTTCTGCTCGGCAGCAAGGCCAGGGCCAGAGTGAGGACCAGCACCAGACGCAGGGTTGGGAGGACCCAAAGTAGAACCATCGCTCATGTTAGTGGGGGAGCTAGAACCGGGTTTGGGCATAGCACCTCCAGAAAGCGCATTGGTGATCTTTCCTAGAGCACCGCCCTCAAGGAGAACAGCTGCGAGGGTGGACCCCTGGATGGGGGGGGCTTGTCGGGTCTCGAGTTCCTTGGCGTCACGGCGCATCTGAACGAGTGTTAGCTTGATGGCTTGCTTCTGTGTTGATGGGTGTCACGTACTGGGAAAAGGCCAACTCCGTGGTTGGCGTTGCCCTTAAGGATACCGCCGAGTCCATCCTTGCCCATTAATTCACCGAGGAGGCCGCCGGAGCTCTCGCTCTCCTTGCCTTCCTGGCTCTTAGCTCCCTTCTGGTTACCCTGCTGACCCTCGCTGGCCTTGGGGGCAGCGGACTCATCACGGCGCATCTGTCAAGGTATCAGTATCATCGGCTAGCTGGGGTTCTTCTCTCGGGTATCTCTCAAGACCAAGTGTGACATACGGGCATGGCAGAAGACTCAGCTTCCATACCAGACGCAACGGCTCCTTCAACAAGGTGGTCCATTGGTTCCATTTGTTCGGACTCCTCGGCACGCTTGTGGCTTTTGGTAACAGGCTATTGAACTATTAGCCTTTGTGTACATACAAGTGTGGCCTGAGAAGAACTTACACCACTGCTAGTCAAAGACTGCAGGATACCAAACAAACCCTTGGCATGGCCTGCCTCACGATTATCAAGGTGCTTGGCAGGAGTTTCGATCTGCTGGTGAGAGGGTTTACCCTGGTCCTGTGTCATGTCAGTCTTCTTTTTCTCATTCTAGTGGTTGTTCCAATTTCTGAGAATGCGTGGCCTACCTTTCCGAAAAGACCTCCGATGATGGGGATGTGGCTGAGACTGCTCTCAAGATCATGCTCCAACCCTTTGGAGCCATTCTGGCCGGCATTTTGGGCATTGTTTTGGTCCTTGTTCTGGCCATGATTCTGGCCGTGATTCTGACCCTGATTCTGGCCAGCGTTCTGACCAGCATTCTGACCAGCGTTTTGACCAGCATTCTGACCAGCGTTCTGCCCTTCATTTTGACCAGCGTTCTGGCCATAGTTCTGACCGTGGCTTCGGCGCTTGTTCATTCCATTTTCACCGCCAGTGTGTGTATGCTAGGCATTTGTCAACATCCCGACCCTGAGATGACTGTTTCTTGGAAATACAAACCTTTCCGAACAACCCTCCAATGATTGGCAAACCACTAATGCCATCTCTCCCGATATCTCGGCGCTGGTTCTCCTTGGCCTATTTGAATGCTTTGATTAGTACTTCTATGTTTGTATTCGATACAAGAGGGCACACTTACGTTGCCAAGAATCCTTCCAATGATCGGAAGGTCGTCGATGATGTTGTGGTGCTGAGGCTGAGCCTCATCGCGCTTCACATCATGGTTCTGTTGAGTGATTGGTGTTAGTCTCCTTCCTTTCTAGTGCCTCGGCGATCTACGGTATTAAAACACCACATACCCCTGCAAGCATATGTCCAATGATTGGGATATCCTCAATGAGGTTCTTGTGCTCAACCGAGCCCTGCTTCTCGGCACGGGCATTTAACTGAGCAACAGGAGCCGCCAAGCTGACAGCCGCAAAAAGGGTAAGGGCGTACGTAGTTTTGACCATTGTGTCGGCTGTGTAGACCTCTATCGTAAGTATCGAGCTAAAAGAAAGGAAGTGTCGGCGAGCGACGGAGCTGGATGTGGTAAATTAAAAAACAAGAAGGGGCATTAATGAACGTCTGCTAGAATGCGAGTCACCTGGAGGGATTCCAGACTTTCTTTAATATTTTCAGGATAGATCGTCTTGGTGACATTCTGCCATAACTGGGATATGAAGGGGCGTCGTCTTGTCCTGCTCCTCAACTGCCCGTGCGGCGATATCAACATCCCTCGCGGGAAATCCTCGTAGCTTCTTTCGCTGCTCTGACAGGGTGGCTGGATTCTTTCCTCCTTCGACAGGAATGCACCAATGCTTGATCTCGACAAATATCCCCGTCGATCATGGTTTCACCTCCCTGCTATGCAAGGGATGATCCTGGCTGGTCGTGGGAGATGATGTAGGATCCGGGACCTGCATTTAATACTTCTGCCCTGGATATTTTATTATGCGAGCTTATTTCCGGGAAATTGATTGGTGGTGGGCAATACGCCTTGCTTAAGGGGCTGTCTGCTTGTTCCCGAGAGACGTCCTTCACCATGGAGTTGTCCTTTCCTTTGGGATCTCATCGATCGGTTTACTGATACTCTTAGTGCCCGCACAAGACGCCTGTGCAAATGTGACTCTCTCCTAGGGGCTTAATTAGTACCTACAGGCATGATGTGCCGGTACCAGTGATGCCCTAACTCAATGTAGGTTGCAGCGTCATATTTCCACTTCCTCATCATGTCCTTTATTTATGAGATACCACACAAGGCGGCCAATTGGCCTAGTGGTAAGGCATCCGTTTCCGGTGCGGGAGATCGTAGGTTCGAATCCTGCATTGGTCGTTATCTTTTTGTTTTTACCACACACATATCTTACTATCTATCTATCTATCAATCAATCTCTATCCAAACCAACAACCGGTATGGTTGTTTTTTACTGCCCAGTCAGGCGCTTTTTGTCGTTATCTATCTATATATAGGTAAGGAATGGCCTCTTTTATCCTCATATGGGTGAACGAATCTGGCCATTTAGAAACATACATACAATCAAACTATTTTGGTCCATTTGTTTCTTATCAATCCAATCCATTCATTCAGCAGATAATTTTTATTTAGACAGTTACATTGTTTGTTATGTTGGAGACAGAATTGATGTCATGTCATATACGTAAATAACGTTGCGGGCTGTTATTTATATATATATATATATAAATGTAAATATAAATTTTCGAATTTGTTTGGGTATCTATCTCCCTGCCTTGTTCCGTTGGAAGCATCATTCTGTATACAGGTAGCTTAAACATCAGACTAATTTGATCATATGACCTTCTTCTTTCTTCGACTCGATCCAGTCTGCGTGTTTTTGTATGTCTGTTTGTGTCTCGCTACGTCTAGATGGATGGGTGATAACTTATCTTGGCTCACCGGCCCTGGCTATACGTTTCTCCCTCCACCTACCACCCATTGCCAAAGAAGTCAATTAGTTAGGTCCCAAAAACAACCAATCAATCCTGCGTTAAAGATGCAAAAAAAGCAAAAAGTTGACGACCAATGCAGGATTCGAACCTACGATCTCCCGCACCGGAAACGGATGCCTTACCACTAGGCCAATTGGCCAACCACAATGAGTTGGGATGAAAGAAGTCAGCGGCCGGAGTATATAAAGCACACTGCTGTTTTCCAAATTAAGAGCGTGTGTTTATTTGCACTTTTCTGGGTTTATTGAGTATGTTAACAAAGTTGAAACAGTATTTCCTTCACCTGGGTTCGGTATATAATATAATAGGAATGAATTAAAGGAATGAAGGGGGTGCTGGAATTTGTCTACATGTGCGGAAATGTCATTGTGATTGAAGTATATATATTTCCTGGCATATGACTCTAGCTCCAAAATTTTGTTATAAACATTTTTATATTCAATGTATCTGACACCCTAAACCTTCACACGGAACGTAGTAAGAAGGAGCCCAAGTGTAGACCTACAGCAATAGTAGGAAGCGCAAGCTATATGCTGGGTGGTCGATGCTAAGGGCATCTATTACCTATCGTACTTTGGGGGAACAGATAAAAAAATATGAACTTGATATATTTCGGGTACCAGACCCAAAGTCTATAATTCAATATATATAAGCCACACATTTCTCGATATAAACCCATCAGGCCTGCCGCACGGGTGACCTATCAAGTCTTGCTGAACCTCGCGATGAATGAATCTCCCAATGTGAGGTGACTTGAATATTCCCAGGAGCGAGATAGCCTATCTTTGTCATGAAAGGCTGTGCAAAAGTGACCAGAGGCATCTCTGGTTCCTCCAACCCCCTACCTGAAAGAACCGTCGTCTTCCAATACTTCGCGAAGGTTGGATCATATATAGACGTATGGCCTGGAGATGGAAGCGCTGATATCCCGAAGATCTTTTCAATGGCTGGCCCCAGAGTTGGGAGACAGGCAACAATTATTCCTAGAAGAGGGACGATGCATGAAAGTATTGACTTCCAGGCAGAGCTGTGGGTAGGGTCTCCTGGGTCGAGGTCGAACTCGAATTTCATGCGGATAGCAATAATGGCAACGATGCTGGGGCATTGGTCAGTAACTAGGCCAGTAATATCTATTCATTGCATACGACCGCAAATTACTCACGCCAGCCCTAGCACTTGGATACACACCAGTGCAGTCTTCCTAGTCTTCGACAAGGGCATCTCCCATATCAAGGGGATAGGAATAATGACGGCAAAGAAACTGAGAATTATCTCACTCGCATTGATACCAGTATGAAGCATTTTGCGATCACCACAATGACCCGGAGTGTCGGCAAGCCATATTCTCTTCGGCGGGGTACAGAAAAAAGCAGTGGCAAAGAAGCCTGCAACCCAGAGAGCCGAACATAGACCCATGATGACATATGCTACCAAGGCAACAGTGCGCTGATTGAAGCTGTGCACATAATAGTTGAGAATTGACAACTGGATCAAGGCGACCACTGTGACCCAGAGAAGATCACCCGCATATGTAAGCTGGTGGTAGGGTTAGTTCAATAGGCATAAATCGACACAATAGAATAGATGCCACTCATTATATCTTGCCTTATTGAATTGGACCAAAACCTCGGACCCTCCGACCTGGGCTACTTCGGTGGAATGCAGCCCCATTCCACACAGCACGACCATGATGATTTCCACCGCATAGCGACCGACCATAAAGAACTATACTTTTATAGTCAGCCTTGCCGAGATATCGGGGTAACCAACGGCACCACATATCGAGAAGAAGCCATAAAAAGATAACCTTACCGTCGCAACAATAATCAATAAATCATTCAATTGCAGCGAAATCCTCTGCAATCGTCGCGACCATAACCGTAGACCGACAGAAATAAAAACAATAGCCAAAAGGACTGACTGAACAGCGATATCTGTTTTTCCCAAGGTATTATGACCAAGGGAGTGAGCGAGTGTGGCTGAGGGAGGCGCCATGAGGGAGGAGTTGAGGCCGAAGAACCTCTTTCGAAGGAAGGATTTTGATTTTAATTCTCTAGGACAACATCCGCAAAATATGAACCCTCGGACATGAAAATATCGGGGCCCAAGAAGCGCACGAGGGCGGGGGCGATTATCTCAAGACCAATTCTCTACACATTACAACGAGTAAGATCGCTAGATTCCGAGCAAGGGCCTCTTGGAGACTTGATCTCTGTCACACTGGCAAAACGTGGCAAGGTTTCTGAGATCTTGATCTTACTCATGGCCGTTCCAGATTCCTTTTCCTCGGATCCAAGTTACAATAGTACTGTGCTACCTAGAAACGGACTTTTTTTATATTTCGAATCTCGTTTTATCTACATGTGATGATAGTGTACATGGGTACTTGGAAAGATTTTGACCTTGCAGGTCTTGAAACGGAGGCCCCTAATTTATCTCTAACATGTGCGTTTCATGTTTCGAGACTAAAACAGCCATCGCATCATACTCCCCACTCGATCTTCCCGTGCGACACGTGCGAAGCATTAATATTTAGTAATAAATTCGAACTACGGAGTGCAAAGTAGATAACTACATAATGCTATATATTGAAATTTAGAGTACCCAACTAGTGTCTACTAGTGCTCGGTGCGGCTTATATTATCCCCTTTTACCGAATCCTTCGGCTTGTGTAGCCACTTAGGAGAGCCATTGAACGAAGAACTACTCGCAAAAACACATTGCCTCTGAGGGTTATTTGGGCTTTCCAAAGATAAAACGAGGCGCTGGGAACTAGCGGCTAGCCAACACGCACCACAGAAGAAGATATGACGGTGGTATTATATTGCGCTAGCTATGGTGATATATACTTGTGACACCATTGCTGTTGACGGTGAACCTTGGAAGTATATTAAGATCCAAAACAAGGTTCAGGTTAAACCTTATGAAGACATCAGAGTAACCTTGGAAACTCGAAGACCACTGTTCCTAGGTAGACGTACTGACCGTCAATTAATGAGGTATGCAATTATTGAAGAGAGTTCCATGGAAAGAGATGACAAGATACATGTGAATGTGGATATATGTAAGTGGAAGAAGAAGGCCTGGCCATGTATGTGGATGGCCCGAGGCTAAATTTATACCGAAAGCGGGCCACGTGGACCTGCCAGCCTACAGGGAATTTTGTATGGGAGAGTTGAAGAAATAACGAACTTCGTAGTATAGGGGGAAATGGTTATTAGCTTCGTCATATATGGGTTCATTATGTACAGGGTTTATTGTAATCAAGCAACAGTGTTGTCCCCACATATCATTTGGACATCTTCAAGCCCCGAATCGTGCCAGTAAACATATTACCGGGGCCAGTGTTGTTGTATTGATTTCCCGTACTGGTGTTAATATTCTGATACCCACTTCCGGAGTTGTCGAACGAATACGCCGACTGGTTTTCCGGCAACGACGCAGGCATCGCCATAAATGAGCGCAAAGCTTTATTGAGCTCCTCAACTTCTGCGCCCCTTATGACAGCAAGTTGTGTGATATTGGACATTTCAATCGCATCCGTGAGAATTTTCTTCATTAGATCTTCCAATTGGTCGCCTCGTGCAACTTTCCGATACTGTGCCGCTGCATTTGAACTTCCAACCACCCCCGAGAAGATCTCATTTACCCGGGTAGCATTTTCCTCGCAGATTTCCATAGTACGAATGGCTGATCGAGGGAACTCTTCCACCATCATAGTTGTATCAAGATGTTGCTTGAATTTTTCGAAGTACGTTAGGAGAGATGGGATGCGTACGGCCGTTTCGCGGAAAATAGCGGGGGCGTTTCCTAGATTTGGATCGCCACTATTTCTCTCTGCCTTTTTGAGGGCGTTGATAGTGTCACCCAAAATGAGGTTGAGTGCAGGTTCAGCGAATGTCATGATGTATGCTTCCAGAATAGGTAATTTGTATTGCAAAGACGTGAGGTGACTGGAGGATGGATATATAATGTGTACTCTGTAGAAGTACTAGTTTTATAAAAGATACCAGGTATTCGGATAAGAATGGGAGGTGCCTTAATACTCGATCTACCCCGCCGCTAAGTACCGTGACGGTGGCCTGGACGAGACTCATGCAGCCCCATGAACTTTTCCTTTACGCGTAAGCATCCGAAGTGGGCATATGTCGACCAATCGACTAGCATCAATATGCAAGTATGACATGGCAGAGAATTTATTGATCTGTGCTTACAAAAAGCCCCTTCTAAAGTTCCCCCTCTTCTTAATTAATTAAATTTCATTTCAGGCTAGCTGAACACAAACAATCGAATAACTTTTTGCGACAAGTCTGGGACCTTGGAAAATTTGAAGATCTCATTTTAGTCGACTCAAGAATCTTCTGATTAGACTCTTCAAACCGGTCCGACTTCTCGCATTCTAGGATGTCCGAACTTAGTCGCCGTCCCTGGTTTAACCTGGCCCCCAAAGTCTCCCGAGCTAAGCCAAAGAGCGGCGACCACGTTGGATCTGAGGCTAGCAAGGTGTTTCAGAAACGCTCGCCAGTCCCTACATTTCCGGATGGCGTTGAAGTTTTATACGAGTGCCCCGAAGCAGCGTTTGATATTTGCTTTATCCATGGCTTGACCGGAGACCGACGAACTACCTGGACTGCTCCAAAAAACACCTGGACTGCAAATAGACAGCCATCTCCATGGCCGCAGGAATTTCTCCCGGCCGAAATCACCTCTCGAGCTCGTGTATTGACTTACGGCTATGATGCCTATGTCTTGCGAAAGTCCGTCGCATCATCAAATCGACTGAGGGACCACGCCACAAATCTCCTGAATAACTTGACGACAGATAGGGCCTCTTGCAACGCATCGTCAAGACCTTTGATTTTCGTTGCACACAGCTTAGGCGGGCTTGTCTGTAAGATGGCCATACTCCTCTCCCGAAATAACCCGGACACTCATCTCCGAGGACTGTTTACTTCCATAGAGGGTATCATATTCATGGGAACGCCTCATAAGGGCTCTTGGATAGCTGAGTGGTCCAAAATTCCCGCCAAAGCTCTGGGGATTATTAAGTCTACCAATAAGGGTTTGTTGACAGTGCTGGAGACTGAGAATCAATTGATTCAGTCCCTCCAGCTTGACTTTATGAACTTGTTGCGTGAATCTGGGAATCTCAAAGTGACGTGCTTTTATGAGGAATTGCCTCTGCCTGTGGTGGGTAAAGTGGTATGCAAAGAATCGGCAACCCTAGATGGGTATAACTCCATTGGTATCCACGCCAATCATAGTGACATGGTAAAATTTGCCTCCAAGGAAGAAAATGGATATAAAAGTTTGCTTGGTGAACTTCAAAGATGGGTGAATGAAAACAGGTATGCCGCATAGTGAGCTAGGATATCTTTCTAGACATGCTAACTGACATGCCTAAGCGTTGATTCGGGTTCGTCAGCTACCGGAACAGGTGCAAACAACGATTTCACGATAGATGGCTCGCCGTCTGTGTTTAAAAACTACGGGGATGGTTTTATAAACATTAACAATGGTTCGGCCACTCAATATAACTCCTTCGGCAGTGGTAATATGTTCAATGGCCCCATCTACGGCTTACACATTCCTCCACAACAACCCCATTGATGATCATTACCATGGAAAGCGATTTTGGAAGTCTAGCCTTGTTTTTCGAAGCGCAGATTATTGTTAGGCCCTTTGAGGGAATCTAAAAGGCTTCGTCCATATATTTTTTGTAGACAGGGTAAAGACATGTGTCCTTACCGAAAGAAATTTGAAATTTGACAGCCGGCCAGGAAATGACAAGATTGAGTTCTTTTGCAGGGTCAATGGCCCAGCAGTTGACTGTCGCCTTTTTGAGAAAACAGTCAAATTGATCCTGTTTATCCCGTTGGTCTTTGGTAATTCGAAGTTTTCCTCCTGGGCGGCAGGAGAGTAAGTGAGTACCAACAATAGGAGCTGAAGTCAGACTTGATTCAACAAGGTCTTGGCTCATTAAACTATTCATAATAAAGACCGTGATGGTTGGTTCGTCGGCGAGTCAAATCGATAGGCGATTGGTAGTTTTGTAAACGGTGGACCTGTGGATTGCCTTTTTCGGTTAGTTTGGCTATTTTGATCGTTTTACGACTAAGGAGCGGGAGCTGCCCTAGAATAGAACTGCTAGGGTGCAGCTGTCGGTCATTTGGTTATTGATTCACGTGGAAAAGACTATTCGTATTTAGTGTACAGATCAATGCTGACGACATGAACATCTAAGGTGTTTTTAGGACCACATCAAACCCCTGGAAGGTTAAGGAGAAGTCGTGATTGCAATAGAGGGTACCGAGATCTGCGGTGGCACTTGGTGGTGTTCAGGGGCATCGTGGTGCCTCCCATTCATAAAACCAGGCACTTCCTTATCTCTAGCCTGAGAATTTGTTGGCTCCTGAAGAGAAGTGTCATCGCTATGGTTAGAGAACTGCCGAGAGACAACCCAGCGAATGAACCTGGGTATAGGCCGGAAGCAAGCTTTGAAGCCCCTACCAAATAGCCGGAAGACCTTGATAAATGGCCACAACACGACAGACAAACCACTGACGATAGCGTTGAAAACGAAAGCAAAATTGTGGTCGGGAATCATGCGTAAAATCATACTCCACGGTATACAGCCCAGGGCACAGATGAGACAGACAGCCCATAAAACCCCACTAAGACGAGTCACGCGAAAAGCTTGACCACCAATATACACTATTATTATTTGTCCACCAATAATGATAGTGTTGATACCCAGGAACCAATAATTTCGAAACATGCCCTCAAAGATATTGAACCTGTTGTCAAGGCGGCGACAATTCAACTCATTGAAAATTTGCATCCAAACAAATGTGTTGAAAACAACGGTGGAAAGTTGTTTTGATCGAAGCTCTGGATCGTTGTTTTCTAGCTGTGGGCTCAAAAGCTGGTCCCCAGAGAAGTAGAGCATAAAGATCACGGCAAGTTTGTAGACTGTCTGTCCGAGGATCATCTTCCACATATTCATAGTGAAGAGTGGGGCACTTTTAGGCACGGGTTTTCGATCTAGGATCTCAGGCGTTGGGCCGTCGGTAGCTCTATGTTCCGTCATATGTTAGCAAGATATAATACTTATGCATATAAAGGCTACTACTTACAGTGCCAGCGCAGCAAAAGTATCCATGATGAGGTTCACCCAGAGCAGCTGCACAGCATTCAGCACGGGGTTGTTCGAATCGCTATAGATGGACGACACAAATGTCAGAATGACGGCCGAGATGTTAACCGTGATTTGGAACTGAAGGAACTTGGCAACGGCGTCGTTTACCGTCCGTCCCCAAGCGATCGCCGTAACGATAGATCGGAAGTTGTCGTCTAGGAGGATAATTGAGCTAGCCTCTTTAGCTACCTCAGTGCCGGTAATGCCCATAGAAAATCCGACATCCGCGGTTCGTAAAGCAGGCCCGTCATTTGTGCCGTCGCCCGTCACAGCGACTGTTTCCCCAAGGTTCTTAAGTCGCTCCACTAAGATACGCTTATCTTCTGGTGAAGACCGAGCTAAAACCTGTAGTTGGGGAATCACCCGGTCTAATTCCGTATCCGACAGATTTCGGAAAACATGACCTTCCATAACTAACCCACCTTCGGTCTTAATACCACAAGACAACGCAATCGCAATAGCAGTTGAAATATTGTCCCCAGTCACCATCTTGACTTGTACTCCTGCAGAAAAACACTTGCGAATTGCTAGAGGAACCTCAGGCCGAACAGGATCTTGGATGCCCACGACCCCGACCCAAGTCATGTCTCGGAAGACATCGTCAAAATCGGCTGAATGCAGATCATCTTCCAGCGTCCTAGCCCCTAACGGAGGCCAGGTCCTATAGTCCTTATACACGATCCCAATTGTTCGAAGGGACCCTCTAGCGAATAGGTCAATGGCCTCAAGGATGTGATGCCGATCGTCTTCTGAGAGAACTTGCGTGTGGAGGCTCTCAGAAGTAGTTATATCTGCGATCTGCATAGAGCACGCATCAATCATGAGCTCGGAAGCTCCCTTGACAAGGAGCCGGTAATCTCCATTAGACAGGCGGTAAACTAGACCCATGCATTTCCGCGCCGAGTCGAATGGGAAAAGCTGGACGGTCTCGGTGGATGCACGCTCCAGGGTAAGATCCATACCCAAATAATCATGAGCTAGCTGAAGTAGTGCAACTTCAGTCTTACTTCCAATGAATTCTTTTTGGCCATTGGTCCCTTCCTCGAAAGCGGTAGAGTTCAAGGCAACACTCTTAACAATAAGATCTCGTATAGGAGCTGTGAGTTGCTGGAAGCTCTCTAACATACCTACCGAGCTAGGTCGAGTTTCGCCCTCTGATAATCTACTGAAGCTTTTATGCGAGCCCCAGATGCCGGCAATGACGGTCATTTTGTTTTGCGTTAAGGTCCCTGTCTTGTCGGAGCATATTACCGTGGCATTTCCCATTGTCTCGCAGGCCCGTAGAACGCGAACCAAGTTATTCTGCTTAACCATACGAGTTGTAGCAAATGCCAGAGCAAGTGTGACGGCGAGAGGAAGCCCCTCTAGGGAAATATCAATATATCTGTAATGAAAAAAGTATGAAAGTCTATTAATAACTACTTACCTGGGACTGCGACAACAATAACGGTCACGGCCACAATTAAAATATCCACAAAATGCTGGCTTTTCACAGTAGCGCTCTGATCAGGATGATTTGGAAGATCGGCGACGAATTGAAAAAGCAGGATGAGAAAGAGAATGACGGCAGCACTATAATATATTGTTAGCGCCTCTGTTTGATATCTAGGGAGTGTAATCCTCACGCTGATCCTAAATAACCGATCCAATTAGCAAGATGACCCAATTTCACTTGGAGCGGTGTAGGATCGTTAGAAGTCTGCAACGATAGCATAAGTCGACCATACGTTGAAAAAGGTCCGACACTAGTCACGAGATAGGTGCCCACGCTTTCGAGAACCTTGCTGCCGGAGATCATAAACGGGTCAAGCTTTTTATTCACGCGACCTTCAATAACCTGCTGCCAAACTTCATAGCCATTTGTCTTCTTTATATTATCTGACTCGCCGGTGACTGATGATTCGTCGCATCTAATACCATTACCCGAGATCAAAATTCCATCAGCGGGAATAGAGTCACCGGGCTCCAGGCAGAGCACATCGCCCACCATGACATTATAAATAGATATCATTGTGGGCTTTCCAGAGCGAATAGCCTTGACGTCGCGGTCATTATTCTTAGATAAGGTTAGAAAATATAACACAATATTGGAGAAATTATATAATACTTACTCGCTTATTAAGTTTGGCAAACTGTTTCTCCTTTTGCCAGTCATTAGCTGAGGTAACGACGGTGACAATCAGAATTGCCACGCAGATAGCGACGCCCTCCACCCACTCCACGCCTATGCCGCCATGGACCGTTTCGTATATCCCCAAAGACAACGAAATGACAGCGGCGACCGTCAACAAGATAATAATCTTATCGTTATAGGCCACCCAAAACAGCTTCAATAACCCAGGTGACTTTCGAGCCTGTAGCCTATTCTTAGAAAAAGTATGGATGCGGTCCTCAAAGCTCGGACAATCGTTGGTATTTACAGCTACTGCCGGAGCCAGATTGGCTTGCAGTCGCGATTTAGCGATAGAAGGTGTATTGTATAGGTGTGACGTCGCCTGCTGAAAGTCTACAAAGTCATCCAGTCGTCCCTCGTCGACGGACAGGCCTGTATCAAGGTCCGTTCGTAGGCCTTTACTCAACCCTTGCAAGCCACCGAGGGCAAAAAACGCTGCGAGGGACTTGGGATTTTGCATTTTGTTCAACTGTCCAGGCGAGAAGGCGAACCGATTATTGTCAACGTTGAAATCGGCGTCATCGCGAGCATCCGGTACCAGTGCTTCCAACAACGACACATCGTCATACTCAAATTTCACAGTTGGATCCAAATATATATCCGACAGAGTCCTGGAGCGAACCACCGTGGCCTCAGTGGATGCGATCGACTGCGAACGCGGACGCAAGGTATTCTCGTTAATTGACTGCAAATGCCGATCCGAAGCATGAGAGATCGCTGGCAGTACTCCATCTGAATCGACCCTGGCATTATCTAGCGGATCAGAATAAGACGGGCTACTGCTCGGGTCCAGTGGTCCTGGATATGCTGAAGACTTCGGGGAAGATGAAACCGATGAAAACGACCGGTGGGAGTGAGATGTTACTAGAAAACCATCTTCCGTTCCACTTTTAGGCCTCCTAACATCTTCATCAGAAGAGTTTGTCGCCCGCAAGGAGACCGGGGTTGACATGTGCTGATCCGAATCAATACGAGAAGAAGCCATAGTCGCGTTCTGCATGGCACTCGTCCCGTCAGTACGTTGATCGTACAGAAATGATTCTCTTCTAATGAGATGGGACTATTTCATATTTCAGGGTATTGGCTAGTTATGCTTTTCCCAAAAGGAGGCTGTGTAGTGGTGCCCAGAAAGCTTTTGAGAATGGAAGGGTCATCATCCATGGTTATCGTTTAACGGCTCGCGGCCAGCAAGGATGCCAAGAAATATTTAAGTGAGTGTAATGCTGAATACGAGAAATCTAAGAGCTCTATCCAGGGTGTTTTCCCTGCCCGGGCCAATATACCGGATTACGTTGAAGTAGGACAGCTTTGATGAACACTAGATTTTACTACGTATGCCAAAAGCTAGAAGATAAAGGCAAGCTCTTGAGGGCTTGGTGCGGTTTCTCTCCGGATCTAGCTGTATCCAGAGGCCCATTTGTCTGTGTGTCAGGTCTTGTCGACAAAGAGACATGAAATTGCCTTCACCATGCCAACCGAAATATGATCAGTCTGGGGTTGCCACCATATAGATGGGTGGCTAAAAACCTCGACTGCGCCTCGATCTAGACCATTAATTACCTTGCGAGTTCTGAAAACCCACTAAACCTTATATTTTTATTGACCAAAAGAATCTCAATCGTGCATTCCGTGCTCTCCCAAGAAATGGGAGGCGAGTCGGATATGTGACAATTACGTCACGGGGTTTACCCGCCTTTACAATACCCGGACGGGACATTTACTATATCATTTTCCATCTGCTGTAATAACGTTCGGTACGACGTTCATTGTAATCTGAGTGCCTATGAGGACATACCACTACTCAAAATAATGCGTGTTGCGATAATGTGTAGCTCGTCTGCAGCGTTTGCAAAATAGCTCTACCCCGGATTATTCACCCCATAAACCCAAGATCAACCTCACCGGATGAATTATCGAAGAGATATCGCTTAGTGTATCATTTATCATTTAGGCTTCCCAGGATTCCCTGCTAGGTTTCTTTCTAGAGGATTTGGGTTCACGAAGAGACGAAAAACCCACTTCCTTTGGCCTTGTAGCGGAGGCAGGCTGACCGCAAGTTTTGTTTGCAATCTCCCTCCCATTTATGACATTGATAAAAGTCTCCAGCATATATTCAACGCTTACATCCAAGACCTTCTCTGAAGAGTGGAAGCTTTATATTTGAAAGACCAACCCAGCCAAACTCCCCTCCTGACAATTTCTTGATATTGGTAATTTTCCGGTACTATTTTCTTATTCTTGTTAGCTCCCGACCTACATTCAATAACCGATGGATTGCTACTCAATGCACGAAATGTTGATGTTATTGCAGACAAGGCTTTTATCTATAATGGTATGTACGAGGGCTCCTGGATTGCTAGAACGCTCCCAGATATACTCGGATTTCTTTACTTTAAACCGGTGTATTTCTCTGGTCAACTACGAAGCCAGGTATTATGACTTACTCTCGAGTCTGGCTTGATTAAAGCGGACTTGAAAATGACGACATCTCTGGAAATTTACCGCCCCATATTCGGACTTTGGGTGGGCGAGTGTCTTCTTATTCTGGCCAAATGACCTTGCCATGTAATTCCGTATTCTGATTGATCTTTGGGGGCCGATCGAAACACTATCCCAAAGCGAGAAGTTGATGCAAGGCCTATTGGGTCAGCCATAATTTCAGTGTGCGGCCAAGGATTGACGGGAGGATCTCGAAACAAGGCGTATTGGCTATCACAGAAGAGTATTAGATATGAATCGACAAATTTAAGGTCGGCTTAAGGCGTGGGCAATAATGATAAGAGAATCCGGAGGTATAAGGACACTGGAAGGGAGGGAAGACGAAGAAGCATCTTGTAGGCGCTTAAAATTGGAAACAAGGGAATAACTATATAAGTCAAGCGTCAACATCAGGACTGGAGGATGGCTAAAAGTGCTAGGCGGGTGCAGAATAGTGGTATTACAGGGCAGTGGGCGGTCAAGGGGCGGCTGGACGTCCAAAGTTACGGGTGGGAAGGCAGCCGTTTCTGGCCTCAAAAGCAGTCATCTTCGGCGTCAATCCCACTGGTCCTCATATTCTAGTTGTAAAGTGGCCCTCACCAATGAATTGACAAGAGCGCTAAGGTTGCAGGGATATCAGGACATCCCGGGGAAGATAACACGCTAGACTGATTCTATCTTCCCAGCTGAGGGATAAGAGGTGTTGTTGGTCATAGCCGCCGCATCCGTTCTGGGTGAGGGGGAAAAAGCAAAGAGGGGCCCAAGGCGAGGCGCCAGCCATATGAGAACACTTCTATTTAAAGCCACAATTTTGATTTAATCTATTCGACGTGCATTAGCCACAACTAGCGTGCTGTGACTCCTCATGGGCGCTTCCGTCCTGTTTTACTATGTACATATAACATCCCTATATTAACTAATCCCCGCTGCCACAACAAAGAACCATCGCCTAAATCATAATACGCCTATTATAACCTAGGATTCTGTTGTATTGCAGCCATAATGGGCCAACCAACATTCCCAGCAGGCGCTTTCGACAACCGTGATCATGGGGTGCAGAACGTCAATGTTAATGGCAAAAACCAATACAACAACAACTCTAACGGGACGCAGTATAATGATTGCATAGGTAACAAAACTGAATGAAAGCTAGACACAAAGCCTTTTCTAACAGAACTTTGTAGTCCATATATCCACCAACCACATGAGCCCCGAGCTTGAACAAAGAGAGGGTCAGTCTACCCTTATAATGCAGTTCGACCCGCGCATGTAGCTGCACAATACATAATATTGACAAAACTAACACATTATAGACCAAAAGAAGATGGATGATGGTTCGCACTGCCCTAAATGCCTAGTCAGGGAGGAGATCACTAATCGCGGTAGCAGATATCCTTCGGTCGCTAGCATTCCCTGAGATGCTCAGTCGGCGCGAAGGTATTCAAAGACGCCATGGAAATACTTGCCAATGGATTTTGGGACTTGAAGAGTACAAGTCCTGGATGGACCGCTCTCAGGCTTTGTTGTGGATCAAGGGCAAGCCAGGAGCGGGAAAATCGACGCTGATGGAGTTTCTATACAGCGAGCTTAAGGAACCGCAAGGCAAGGATCACGGTATTCAACTCGAATTTTTCTTTACCGCTCGTGGCATCGAGCTGCAACGCACACCCTTAGGGATGCTTAGATCGTTGCTCAACCAACTCTTTTTCTGTGATGTGACCGTGCGTCCTTTGGTGCGTGCAGCATACCAAGAGCGATACGAAAAGTTTGGGGGTGGTGAACGCAATTTGGAATGGCCTCAGAAGCTACTGGAGGAGTTACTGGAAAAGGCAATCCTGATGTCGGCGACTCATCAGCGTTTGACTATTTTCGTGGATGCTCTGGATGAGACCGGCGAGATTTCTGCTCAGCAGTTGGCTGATTATCTCCACCAGCTTAATCATTCTGCGAATTTCTCCCAGGTTACTCTGAAAATATGCTTCTCGTGCCGACACTATCCAATCGTGGATATTGACCAAGCGATTGAGATTACGGTCGAGCATCATAATTTTGAGGACATTGCTTCATACATCAAGGACAAACTTCCACGTCGAGTTCGTGACCAAGAGGTTTGGCAGAGCCTAGGAAATGAATTGATCAAGCAGGCAAATGGAGTGTTTCAATGGGTCCATATCGTCATGCCTGCGTTCCACCAGAGGATTCTCCGTCGACACTCGGCTGAAGATATCCGCAAATGGTCACGTACGGTCCCAAGCGAGCTTGAAGAAATGTATCGGTTCATACTAGAGGAGGTCATGCAAATCGAGAATCCGCAGGAGGTGTTCTTGTTCTTTCAGTGGTTGTCCGCATCCGAGCGACCCCTCAGCATAACAGAAATGCGATACGCCCTGACAACCAAAAATGCCACAATACCATCATCTCAGCCATGGGAGCAGATAGATGGATTTATCGAATCCGACGAGGACATGGAGTTCAAGATCAAAGCGCTTTCTGGTGGACTGGCCGAAATAGGCTTCTACCGCCACAATACTGTCATACAGGTAGTCCACCAAACAGTCGATGATTTTTTACGTGACAAGGGGCTCCTTCGCTTAAAGTCACTTGTCGACAAAAGTAAGTCAGACATCGACAACAAAGAGATGATACTTCAATGCCATGCAACGATCTACCAATCATGTTTGATCTACCTTTACAGAGAGGTGTCACCGCGCTGTCGCGGCAGAGAAGGCACACCTCTCTATCTTGAGCAAGTTAAGTCACCAGACGGGTTCGCTCTTCTTGTGCGTGAGAAAACTCAGTTGGTTTCGAAACGGCCATTTCTGGAATATACAACCTTGAACCTCTTTGTGCATGCAGAAAGAGCCGGATGTTCTCGTACGACCGTCAATCTTCTCAGTCATGCAGAAATGTACAAATGCTCTCATTTAAATGCGATACAAGATGAAGTGAAATTACTGAGGGAGTTTCTTGGTCAATGGCTCAATATCCACATGGGTTTGAGAGGAACCTGGGATGAGGCTTACCGACCCGGAACAACACTGTTACATATGGCAGCAGCTGCCAATATGGTTGATATTATGGATTTTCTGATTCAAAACAACGAGAAAATTGACCAGACAGACGATGAAGGACAGTCGGCTTTTGATTTAGCAGTGAGACACGGTCATACAAAAGTGGCTCAGATGCTCAAGGAGAGGGGGGCAGAATGTGACAGAAAGAGTACTCTGGGAAGGACGCCGCTAGAGGAAGCAGCGCGACGTGGACACATAAAAATGATCGAATGGCTTTTAAACAACGAAGTTACCATTGATGCAAGATCAAAAAAGGCCGGGAGTGCGCTGCAAGCCGCTTCATTAAGTGGCCAGAGAGATGTAGTGGATTTGCTGATTCGAGCCGGTGCCGATGTCAATACTCAGGGTGGTAAATATGGGAACGCCCTACAGGCTGCTGCATCGGTGTGGAACGACGAGGCGGTGCGACTGCTACTCGACACTGGGGCTGATGTCAACACCCAGGGTGGTGAATACGGCAATGCTCTACAGGCCGCCGCATCAACGAGAGGCGCTAAAATGGTACAGCTGCTACTCAACGCTGGGGCCAATGTCAATACCCAGGGCGGTAGATACGGCAACGCTCTACAGGCTGCTGCGTGGGCAGGGGGCACCGAGGTGGTGAGGTTGCTACTTGACGCCGGAGCCGAGATAAATACCCAGGGTGGTAGATATGGCAGCGCCATACAGGCCGCTGCAGGGATGGAGAGAGCCGAGGTGGTACAGCTGCTACTTGACGCCGGGGCCGATGTAAATAACCCGGGTGGTGAATATGGCAGCGCCCTACAGGCTGCTGCATCAACGGGGTACGCTGAAATAGTGCGACTGCTACTCGATGCTGGAGCCGATGTCAATGCCAAGGGTGGTATATACAGCAGCACCCTACATGCCGCTGCATCAAAGGGGGACGCCGGGCTAGTGAAGCTACTACTCGATGCCGGGGCCAGATTCAATACCCCGGGTGGTGAATACAGAAACGCCCTACAGGCCGCTGCATCAAAAGGGGACGCCGAGATGGTGCGGATACTACTCAACGCCGGGGAGCTGATAGACGCCCCTCAAAAGAAGCAGCCTATGGTTATGAGAAAACGGTTTCCTCAACTGATTTTTCGTGGGTCGATGAATGACTGAAGTATCTAACCCTGTGATAGGATTACAGTAGACATAAATGTTGCTCCTTTATTTCTCTCTTTCCTGTCTCTTGACTGTTCGCCCCCAAAGTGAATACACTAGAGCTTCTCTTCTTCTTTTCATGATTGACAAACAACTTTTCGAAATGCGTGTCATCGATGAAATCATTTCGCCTTCATCACCAGTGACTGTTAAATTACCGGGCGAAGGAACTCGAGGCCTGCAGGGTGCTTGCGTTGGCAGACAGTTTGGCAGTTATTCTCTATTGGGGATATCGGAAATAGGACTGCGGCTGCTGGTTGGTGCGAGAGGATATATAGAACCTTTCGTGATGACCAGGTTCTGCATGACAATCGATCTCAACCGAGAAAACAATCTGATAGACATAGTCTGTATCTAAAGCGAGGGAAAAAACAAAAAGTGTTCAGAATGTTAATCACCCCACAACAAGGAGAAATGAAACTACTACACTCATGCTCAGTGAACATCACAGGATTTGCCATATTAGACCCTGGGCGTCACTTGCTGCTACCAATCATCGCTATATCGTCTATAGGTATGAGTAAGTACACCTTTATGACTCGCGCATAATATACTCTCCATCCACCATAGACTACGTAATATCATGAAAGGGATAGAATTCTCTGCTTTTCCCCACGTCCTATACATAGTTATGACGCATTGTCTCGATAAGATAGTAGAGTGCTCCAAAGAATAACCCTGGAAAGATGGGAGTGATGCTATCAAGGAACAAACTATTACGGTATATTGAACACCGAGCATCAGTCATTCTGTACTTGACTAACCTGAGCGTGATCAGGAATCTGAAGGTGTGCTTACGTCTACTCAATCCGCCTGAGCCCGAGCACCCCTATAAGAGGAGCAGCACGAATATAAAAGCCCCTCCCTACAGGGAGAAACCGGGGAAGTATAGGTGCACATGTATACTTTGACAACCTAGTCCCTCAGCCGTGGAGCAGCCAAAGGCGAATCGACATCCCCCCACTCAAAACCTTCACTCTCATTTCCATCTTCATAATCCAATTCAAAACTCTCTTCTTCAAAAGAGGGACTGACATGTACAGCCGGCGACGAGATAGGACTGAGCGCCACACGCGGCCGCGACTTAAAGACACTCGCGTACTCAGCATCTTCCTCAAAGAGCTTATCTTGCGGCGTCGAAGCACGTGAAATCTCATCCCTCGAATGAGCTGAGTGCGCGGAGGTCTTCCGCGGCGTCACGAACTGGTTGACCGGGAAGGACGGGCGGGGTCTGCGGCGTGGCCGTGGTGCTTCCTGGGCCACGGGTGGTAGGAGAGACATTGACCTGCGCGTGCGCTCGGCTAATGTGTGGGTGCGCTTGATGGGTTCTGGAGCTGGTTCCTCATCTGATGAGGGGAGGTCTGGGGGGAGCCGGACGATTGGGGGCGAGGATCGGATATGCTCTGATTCTGGATGCGGCTTGGGCTCTGGATATAGCTCTGAGGTTTCCAAATCCGGTGGATGACCTGGGGCATGATGGTCTTCTGCCACTGTTGATGGTGAGCTAACAATCTCCGATGTTTTGAAATGCTGTTTGCTGCTCGTTTTGACCTCCGGCGTAAAAATTGCAGGCTTGACGCGGGATTTGCCGTTGATACGGGATAGAGCCTCATTCACAGAGGATAGTAGATATTTCTCGGGCCCTTTCAGAGTCCGCCCGCGATCTCCGGGCTGGCGAACGGCTTTTGATATACTAGCAACTGTGAGAGACTGGTGATCCCGGAATAAAACACGTGGTTCTTTGGGCGAGGATGTGCTAATTTCGTCGATGCCTCTTTCCCTTGAGAGGGACTTATTGTATTCATGCCACTTGTGTAGTCGACTTCGTTGGAGTAGAACACGAGCCTCCAAATCAAGGACCAGGTCCTGCTTCAACCCACCGCTGAAACTGTCTACATTCGAGTCCTTTGCCCGCATCCATGCCGTCGAGAAAGGGAGTTCCAGAAAAGCATCGGTACTGCTTTGCGATCCGCCTTCGAGCAGTGCAGTGGCCCATTCGTCGCTGCCCAGCCAATTTGTTTGTAACTCGCGCACCAAGCTCTCGGGCTTACTGTGCATATCATCCACGAAACCAACTGATTCTTGATTTGCACGTTCAGTCAGCTCGACCTTTTTATCGTCTAGCAGCTGTGAGAACCGATCACACGCTTCTCGAATTCGGGCATGGCGTTCTCCTGCAGAACCGAGAGATACTTGGTGGGCAAGAATAAGTGGCAGGAGATTCTGATAGTCGGTTAGAGTCATGGCCGTAGTAGTCGAAAGTTTCATCGCAGGATTCAAAGGCGTCTCGTCCGCGGACAGCGCCACAACTTTACGGAGAACGGCAGTGGAGAAGCCAGCGAGCAGCTCCTCGAATTTATCGCCTTTGCAATCATCTAGCATGGTTTTGCGGAGGACTATCTCTCTTCCTAGATCGCCATTCTTCTTCAATTCACCTAGGCACCGAAACAAGGCCGCGCGGAGGTTGACAGATTGTAGAGGCTCTAACGGGGGGAAGAAGGGTCGGAGTTTCTACAGGGGATGTCAGCAAGGTTCACAACTCTGAAAGCTGGCAATTGAGTAAATGTACGTTTTGGGCGGTCTCCGGATCCCAAACAGTGTAAAGATGGTACAAGGCCCATTCTATTAGTCGGATTCGGTGTCGTTGGTTCTGTGATGTCAGGGTCAAGGCGCGGAGAGATATACCGGGCCAATCCTCGCGTTGATCCAGATACAAAAGCTTCAAATTGCGAATAAACACATCCAAATGTGAGGGAGCCAGCCAGTCCAGGGGTTTCGGCCGAACAGGCCTTGTCGCAGCCATCCTGTGTCAAAGGGGACTTTAGTAAACAGGCGGCGGAGAGTAAACATAGATAACGGATGTTTGCACTGTTTGCAGCGCATATCAGTCCGCTCGTTGTAGTTTGTATTTTTCCCCTCCTCAATTGTCCTCTTCGGTGGGGTTTCTTTCTTTCTCTCAGTCGTTATCTCTCTTAAGTGGTATCAGCCATGACCTCAGACACTTCTACATGGACTCCCGAGACTAGTAAGCCTAAGATTCCTCTTTTCAGACCACGCAAAGCTAATATCCGCAGTGCTCTCTACCCTCCCCTACCGCCCAGAGGAGAACTCCGAGTCACCTGTTCCTTTCTTCCACTTGATCGAGCGCCTTAAGACTACCAAGCGCGAGGGCTGGCGCCGCTTCGGCATCAATGATGGCGAGTCCATCTCTGACCATATGTACCGCATGTCGATCATGACGATGATGGCCCCGCCGACCCTGGCAGCCAATATCAACATCCCGCGCTGCATAAAGATGGCCTTGATCCATGACATGGCTGAGGCGCTTGTCGGCGATATCACTCCAGTCGACGGCGTCAGTAAGCCCGAGAAGGCACGTCGCGAGGCCTCCGTTATGGACTACATCACCACGAACCTCCTCGGTAAGGTCCCGGGATGTACGGGCGGGGAAATCAAGGAAATATTTGAGGAATACGAGGCAGACGAGAGTGATGAAGCTCACTTCGTGCATGATATCGACAAGATGGAGCTGCTGTTGCAGATGGTTGAGTATGAGCGCTTGCATAAGGTTGATCTCACCGAGTTCACCCACGTCAAGGAGCGCATTCAGTTGAAAGAGATTAAGGAATGGGCCGATGAGGTCGTTCGGGGGAGACCGAAGAAGGCATAGATATGCATGCGCTTTGCGCGTCATTGCAGGGAATGGGTGATGGAGCATGCATGCACTAGGACCCATTGTGTTTTCGGCGTTGGTTTCTTTATTTTCATCTTTGCATTTCTTTTTTCGGGTATATTAGATACTATAGAGGACGAGTTACGAGAAGACATGATTTCTAAAATGCTCTAGGCGTGGTATCATTTTCACTATACTTAATATCTGGTAAGTATGTGTCGCTCTGCCTCGGCAACTTCCAAGTCTCATGCTTCCTCAGACTTCAAAATGAGTGGGCGAGGATCATTATCGACTATTTGTTCTTATACCACAATCGATTCAACTCTCGAAGCTCGTCTAGTGCCACAAGACCGCAGTTTCGCTGTAGGCATCTGACCGTTCATAGCCTGCGTTAGAGCTAAAGTTCTAGCCCTTCAACGACGTGATGATGAGGGTGAATAATATAATTCTGCCTGTGGCCTCCCGCTCGCAACTCAGGCTGTTTGGTGCTCGTCGACCTCCTCCTTCCCGAGGAACGACCAAGTAGTGCTCAAGAATAAGATCATCAAAGTTATGGGTGGCCTTTGGAAGCGCCTTCCCAAATGTGTACGATATCGTGACATAGGACAATGCCCCTTCCTGATCTATCAACAGGTCACCAATGATCTGGGTATCGTGGCCATCCTGGGCTTCTTCAAGGGCTTCCCTTGCTAATAAACTGTCATATCTGTTCTCTATTAGACTCATATGTATACACTTTCTCTAGACCTTCGTATCTAAGACACAGACCCAATTAATCAAGAGGCTCATTCTCCATCTCCCGTGACAGCATTTCAGCCTCGGCTCTCATATCCTCTTCATCACGAGGCTTGCGCGCGTCGTTATCCACAACTGGGAACCTAGACCTCCTCCCCGGATTCGCAGCATTTCCATTCCCAACCTCAGTTGGCTGATCACCCTCTTCCGTAGGAACGGAGCTTTTAAAAGCCTTCCCCAAATCCCCCTCATCCCCATCAAGCAAGTCATAAACCGCATCCGTGCCACCGGCATGGTCCAGATCCGCTGCCTTGCGCGGAATGATATGCGCATGGACATGCGGCACGCTCTGGCCAGCGTGCGCGCCATCCTGAATGGCGATGTTTAAGCTCGTTGCGCCGTATACACGCTCAACCATGCGGCCCACGCGCCGCACTGTTAGGAAGAGGTCGCTTGTTTCGGCGGGGGTGAGGTCTGTGACACGGGGAACGACGCGCCGTGGGGAGACTAAGACATGACCTGGGAGGATTGGTTTCAGGTTTACCAGGGCGAAGGTCAGGGGGGTTGTGTGGAAGACCTGTTGGTGCGGGGTTAGTTAGGTTTACGGTTGTGCTTGTGTTTATGACTTGTTCTGTGCTATAATGTGGTTGGTGTTGGTTGAGACCGGGGGTTGTCTGGGTCATGAGAGACTTACCTGCGGTGTGACAACGAAAGAGCCAAAGTATATTGGTGCGGTAGCACCTTTGAGAGCTGACATTTCGGTATTGGATTTAGGAAACTGAGGTGAATTGGGGGCTGTCTCGTCGTTATTTAGTTTTCTGGTGATGTCGGGCGATGTGTTGATAAGCGCTTATCAGATATCATGATCATCCCCGTCACCCACGGATTAACCTATATGCATGGGATGGGCATGCTGACTATGTATACCTATGGATATGTGTATAGTAGGCACTTATGGAGTTACGCAGGTGAGATAAACGAAATACATTCTTTGTTTTATCCATGAGTAGATCAAGAAAACACAGGAGAATGGGTATCATTGACATTGGCCATAAACAATATCCTGAACTATATTACAAAAAGAGTATCTGGTAGCTAAAGAGTTGCGACACATCGCTGATCGCAAGGGTAAGAAAAGGGGAAACATGAAGAAGAATACATATAAACAGTCAATTATCATCAGTGTGAGATTGGCGTCAAAGGTTCAAGACTGTGTTGATATCAAGACTCCTCTTTCTCTGTCTCATGTTTGGTTTCAGGGGCAATGGAAGGCTCTTGTGCCGCCTCGATCTCCACTTTGGGCTCTTCAGCTAGATTTGCCTCTTCGGAGGAAGTAGTATTTTCATCGTCTTCTGGAACAAACTTCTCGATGGGCGATTCTGTGTTTGTATCCAGCTCTTTGGAGAAGGGCTCCTTGGTTTGCTCAGTCTGCTCAACCTGCTCAATCTTTTCCTGGTCTTCGGGAGGTTCAGATGACTGCTGGTAGGGCTCTTGGGGTGGCTGTTCCTGAGATTCCTCAACTGGCTCTTCGGAGGGGTTTCCCACATCAGTAAGTGGCTCAGTAGGCTCTTCTCTAGTCCGTATTTCCAAGACAGAGATAGGCCGCGGTTCGGGCGATAGCCTCAGGGGCCCACGCAGTGGCAATGACGTAGTCTCTTCCAAATCCTCCGCATCCTCCGCAATAGGTGTAACACGCATTCCTGTTGAAGGACTGTGCTTGTGGCGACGGGTGGTCGCGCTAGTGACAAGCGCCGAGTCCTGACTCTCCACAGCGGCACCGAATGGATTTTCGCCTTCCTTGCGCAGAATAGTGAAACGGTTGTTGCTGTTGGCAGGTTTTTCCTTGGGCGCTTTTCCCTCGGCTTCCTCCTTCCTTTTCTCGGCCTCTTCCATTTTCTGGGCTGCCGCAACTTCATCGGGTCCGCCGGCCTTAAGGGGAATCGTGTAGCCCTTGACAAGGTTGTAGTGAACACAAACGGTCTTGAAAAAAACGTACAGACCGCTATGCCCTGCTACCTTCGAAAACACGCCAGGATGCCGGAACCATGCGTGTGCGAAGAAGCGGTAAAGGCGGCGGAAGATATCTTCCAAAGTCTTCATGCTTTTGTCATCATTCGACGATATAAGTCGGCTGGTGTTTTCCAAGGCGAGAATGTTCATGGCCCAATCCAGAGTATGGCAGCAATAGTCAATCGCGCAGCAATATTTGGCTCCCGAGTGCCCCGCGCCCGCGCAAATATACTGCCAATCGTTGACTCGCATCTCGGGACAAGTTTGCGACGAGCAGGGCGGGTTCTCAGTGAGAAAGCCCTCGACGAGGCGATTAGCTTCTATAGTGAAGAAGCGGCACAGTTCGTACTTCCAAGCAGGTTCCCCGAATCCATTCGGAGGGTTTGTCAGTTCATTCACAACCTCGCTCTCGGGTTTTCTCGGCTCTTTAGCAATCTCGATCTCCGAGCTTTCTGTCGGCTCTTTCGCAACCTCGCTCGTCCGGTGCACCTCGTCAAATTCTTTGGGGTTTTCCTTATTGTACTCCTCCAAAAGCACATTGTACTCCTCCATAAGCATATCGTACTTTGAGTCCGCCTTATCAGAAGCTTTGCGTTTCTGCTCATTGTACTCCTTCATAAGTGCTTCGTACTTCTCCACAAGCACATCGTACTTCTCCACAAGTTTAGTGTATTGGGGCGCAAGCTTCTGGTACTGGGCTTTGAGGTGTTCCTGGAGCTGGAATGGAGAATCGATCTGTATTTATCAGTAATGTCCAAAATATCTAGCGGGGAGCAACTTACCTGCTCTAGGGGAATCGCTGGCAGGCCCATATTAGCGGATTTAGTTCCTGGCCGGATTCTGCGCGTCGAGCCATCGTTTTCTCCCATAGCACCACCAAGCAGGTCTGCATCTTTGCCAAAGGATTCGCCAACCGACGGCGACTGAGGCCCAATCTGAACCTCAGTAAATGGAGGAGGACTGGGAAGCCGCGGGGAGCTTGACGGAGAGACTCCCGCAGCAGTCATGACGGTAGTTGAACGAAGGTGCTAGGTGAAACGGAAACCGAGAAACAAATAAAAGAGTGAAAGGTCCCTAGACGCCCCGTTAAATTGTGTTAATAAAAGCAAAGGTCGAGTGTTGAGAGCAAGCATAGACGCTGAAGATAACAACCATCAACATAACAACGGCTGACCGCCCGAGCCCTGTGCCCTAACGTCTATTTTGGGAAACAACGTCATCCGCCGCATCTACGAGGTTTTGTTTCTTCGGACTCTGTGTTCTTCTAAATATTTACGCAGCATTCAAAGACTAGGACAGTATGTCTGCCAATTTTGAAGAGGAGGATGCTCCTCCGGAGCTAATCGATATGTCTGCAATGCCAGCAGACCAAATATCGGTAGACGAAGAACCAACAGCTCGAGTGCCCATCACGCTGGTTACTGGTATGATTGGATAGACTGCAAATTAATTCCAGTCACAAGATGAGATTAACACTCGGATTAGGTTACCTGGGAGCGGGGAAAACGACCCTGCTGAACTATATCCTGACAGAGAAACACGGCAAGAAAATTGCCGTGATCATGAACGGTTCGTATATTACACCTGACTATGAGATGAGATATACATCGCTAATGCATTTGCAGAATTTGGTGACTGTAAGCTGTCCAATTAAAAGGACCAAAACCTTACATTCTAACATTATATCATAAAGCAATGGATATTGAAAAGCCAATGACGGTAAATCAGGGCGGCCAAGAAGTGACCGAGTGGATGGAAGTTGGCAATGGCTGCATCTGCTGCTCCGTGAAAGACTCAGGTGTAATGGCCATCGAGTCATTGATGGAACGCCGCGGCACTTTCGATTACATCCTTCTAGAGACTACCGGTCTTGCCGACCCGGGCAACATCGCCCCGATCTTCTGGATGGACGAAGGGCTCGGTAGCTCTATTTACCTCGATGGAATTGTCACTCTCGTCGACGCAAAGAACATCACGCGCTTGCTGGACGAACCAGCCCCCGAAGAGAAGGCCGAATCGCATGATGTGAACCACGACCACGGTTCTGGCCCTGTTCTCTCCATGGCGCATATGCAGATCTCGCATGCAGATGTGGTGATCCTCAACAAAACGGATCTGGTTACGGACCAGGAGCTGGAGGCTGTGCGAGATCGGGTTGATTCCATTAACAGCGTGGCTAAGATTCATGTGACAGATCATAGTCGGACGCCGCAGATTGAGGGCGTTGTGCTGGATTTGCATGCTTACGATCACTTGGCGGATTTAGACTTCAGTAAGAAGGGACATAGCCATATGGACCCGGTATGTTTATATTTTCTTCTGTCTTTTGCTTGTTGCGAACAGGAATGCTCCCGTGATTCTAACTAAAACCAGGCAATTTCTACCACTGCGATCGTTACGCCTCCAATCCCGGCAGATAAGGTCAACTGCGTGGATGCCTGGCTGCGCTCTGTTTTGTGGGATACAACATTCCCTGCACCTGCGAAATCAGTCTCATCTGAGCCACAACCCGTAGACTTTGAGGTTCATCGGTTAAAGGGCATATTGATCCTGAATGACGGGACAAGCAGGATTATCCAGGCTGTGCGGGATGTATTCGAAATCCGGGATGCGGAGCCTATAGACACTGAGGATAAGTCTAAACCACTTCAGTGCAAGATTGTGCTGATTGGACGAGGACTAGGGTCAAGTGTAGAACCCTGGCAAGAGAGCTTTGAATCTTGTTTGGTTGCAAAATAAGGAGAATTCATTGTCTATGATCAAGCAAAAAGAAGTCATTGATTACTCCATGGAAGAAGACAGCAGGGCCCATTTACGGTTAGAATGCGAAAGCCAGTTCTAGCCAAGAATTGCATTGCCAAATAACGAAAAAAAGAAAAATAATACAGCCCTGTCAGACAAGAAGAGGTATAAAAAAATCCCATCAATATACATCGACTTCCGGGTGAGAACACCAGAACGCAGAACGAGGGCCTCCGCTGGAGAAAAAACAGACAAATCATAGGATAAACAGCAAGGAAACAAGAAAAAGACAGCACAAAGGAGATAGAGAGAACAAAAGAAAAGCTTCCAGAACAGAATCCAATTAAAATCCGCCAAAATGCAAAGAAAAAAAAAAAATAAAGGACTTTTTAGGACTCCAGGGTTTCGCCCGCCATCGGTATAAATGCTTCCAAAAGCCGAATAACACGAGGCAAACGACGAGGCATAAACTGTACAAGCAGAGCAAATCAAAAGGGTATCGAGTGCTCGGCCCCGAACATGGGGCTCGTTCGGAGAAATGGGTCGTGGCGTCGTAGGTGGCGGCCAATTTAACAAGATTGTTTTGTAGAAATATTAGTGATCTTGCGTTGGTTCGGGTTGTGATTTTACCCATGAGGGCCTCACTAAGTTGTTTGTGGAGGATATATTGGTGAATAGATCAATTCGAAGAAAAGCGAGCCTGGCTCGAAATGCTCGGTTTAGCCTGACTTGAAGGTGGGCCTTGAAGAGGGCGTGCCATCTCAACTTCGGCATAAGTGGAACTAGGTTTCGCACTTTGATGAGCAGGGCTGATGGGCAACTTTGAACCCAGCAAATTTGAGTCGGAGTTCAGTGGATTTGCTCGTATAGGTTTGATATCAGCTGTGTTTGCGCTGGATTGGCCTGAAGGTCCATTCCCCCGCGGTTCGATGGGGTTTGTTTTAGCCGGCGAAATGGCAGTCTCTGGTTGAGGGTTCCCGAGGGATGAGGCTGGCTCTGGTGGCATTGTCAATGCGGGTTTGACATCTGGATTATTTGCAGATGGTTTTTCCCATGGCCGCCTTAGCAGTCCAATTCCAACAACAGATGGACTTGTTGCAAATGGCGTACCCAGAGAGCCAATGGATGCCCCAGTGTGACGGAGGCTCGAAATGTGCATTGAAGAAAATCGAGATGGAGTTGCAGATGATGTGGGTGTGATGTCGTTCTCACGTGGCGTAATCGCCTGTTCCGACTTTGGCGATTCAATACGAGAAGGACCCTGTGATGAGGGGGCACGTATAGTGTTAATGGAGGCCTCGGAAGAATGGAACATTGGACTGATGGGCAATTCCGAGCGCGCCAGAGTTGATGTTGAGGGCGATGGCTCAGTAAATTTGGGTTTAATGCCTGTGTTTGCGTATGATGAAGTCGCATGGGTCTGCTTTGGTGGCTCGATAGGAGAAGATTTCACTGATCGAGCGGCGTTCGGAAGCTCGAGCGAAGGCCTAGAACGAATTAGGGTAGGATTGATGGGGGATGTCGGGATAGGCTGGGATAATGTTGAGCCTGATGGTGTTGTGAGTTTGGGCTTGATATATGTGGTAGCCTGTGCACGTGGTTGATCCACGTTATCCTGTATTGACGGTTTAACAGACAAAGAGGTCGGCAATGAAGTGGTACCCAGAGCACCGATGGAAGTTCCAGAAGAACGGAAGGTAGGGTTGATAGGTAGTTCCGAGAGGGACAGACATGATGATGAGGGCGATGGCTCAGTAAATTTAGGTTTGGTTTCGACACTTGCGCATGGTAAATCCGCACATTTCTGCTTTGGCGGCTCAATAGGAGAAGCTTTTACCGATTGGGGGGCGTTTTGAAGGCCAAACAAACTCTCAGAGTCACGGAAAGTAGGGCTGAGGGGCAAAGATGAGGATTCAAGATCACCCTTGTCATCGGTGGCCTTTGCACATGACTGGTCCACAACTTCCTGCTTTGTATGCTTAATTGAAGATGGGATTGTCGAAAAAGGAATGGCCAGGGTGTCATTTGATGTACCAGAGTCGCGCAAAGTAGGGTTGATGGGCAAAGCTGAGGTTTCGAGGTCACCCTCGTCATTGGCGGGCTTTGGACATGGTCGATTCCGAGCCTCCTGATTCTGCGACTCAACAAGAGATGTGCTGACTGGGGGCGGGAGTAGAGGCGCGGTGATTTCAGAGCTAGGCAAAGCAACGGAATTGTTATAGATCGGCTCATTGGTTGTCTCTTGCTGATTACTCATGGGGGCAGTTTCGAGAGAGACGGGTTCATCGGAGAAGGCTGGTGGCCCCACTGGGTGGTTGTGGAAGCCATTTCCCATTGATTGGGTCTGATAAACTGGAGTAGCTTCTGGTTCCTGACTGTCCGAGGGTACGTAGGGTGACGAGCCATCATCAAAATGGCGGGAAAAGTCCATGTACTCGTCATGGTTGTGAGGTTCGTGGTGATTCAAAGTAGAGGATGAAGATGGCTTAGATGGGAATCCCATGTCTTCATTGGATTCTGCGAGAGTAATTGTTGAGCGCTTGACGAGGTCGTGGGATTCAGAGAATATGGGGTGTTGCAGATCACCATAGGAATTTCCCGAAAACTCCTTTTGGGGGTAATATTGGTCATCTTGCTGTATCATACCCCCTGGCGATGTCAGTCCAAGCCCAGAAGGCTGAGGCTGAACCCAGTTGCTAATTGGCAAATGCCTAGAATCATTGGCAATGGTCTCCAGTGACCGAACAGGTGTTGATACCCGTGCTTCCGGTAGTGGGGGAAACATGGAGAGAAGATCCTTTGCCGAGAGCCTATGTCGCGGAGTCGGGCTCAAACATATGTCCACTATCCGTCTGTAGTAGTCTGGAATTTTTGCGTCATCACCTAGTCGAAGAGGCCGCGGTTGTCGTTCAGGTTCGTCCTCCTCCATCGCCAATGCCCACAGCGTCATACCCAGTTGGAAGAGATCGGTTTTGACGCCAATGTACATGGAGATGCGCTGGTTGCTCTCGATCTTAGCGGCAATTTCTGGAGGCTCCCACCCCACTGGGCATCCTCTGCGGTTGATGTCAATAATTTTGGCATTGTCGTCTGCATCCACCACAATGTTCGCAAGTGTGAAATCGCCCTGCACGTAGCCCGATTCGTGGATCTCGCAGAGGCCCTGGACAATCTGTTTTGCCCATCTCTCGCGTCGTGCAAAGCTCGTTCTTCCGCGTTGCTCGTACAAAATGTCAACCAGTGCGCCCTTTTCTGCATAGCTAATTAGCAAGCCCTTGACGACGCCTTGCCATTCATCGATCACGATTCCTTCCACCTGGATCACGCTTGGGCGGTCTTTCAGCGCATGCAAAGCGTTAATCTCGTAGAGAAACTCGTCCACGGTGTCGGGACCAGGTATTTCCTTCTTGATATAAAAACGTCCGTCCAGGTTTATTTTGTAAACAAAGCCGGATAAATGAGATTCGAAGTGCAGTGAATCTTCGGGGATGATAGGCGCGTTGACCAAATGCCTGATACTGGAGATGGGCGGGTATGGGATTGTTTCGTTTACGTCCTCCGTCACATGAACGTGTAAGCGGCCATCGCTCGTCTCGAGCCTGAGATTCGTGACACCTTCATAGAATTGGATCGCAAGAAGGGACTCGCGAATGGATTCGTAGATCCGTGCACACTTGTCGCGCTGATACCGCAGCTCCTTCAGTTCCCGCTCCAGTGAATAGGGTGGCGCATCTTGGTAATCGCAGGAAATCGTCACTCGGCGCCATCGGTTCGGTGTCTCCGCGTACGTCACGAAGAATTTCTCCCGCTCTGACCCATCTCGGAAGTGCATACTCAGGTTCAAAATCCACCGTTGTTCCAGCTCCATATCCAAGTCGATTGTGTGATCATCCTCTTCCTCCTCTGGTGCATCGAAATTACCCGTCGTCATTTCGGGATAGGGGTTCGAGGTTTCGGAGATATCGTTGCTCTCGTGGGCATCGTTCGTTTCGGATTCTGGTTCGGGGGCGTCGTCGACCGTGGTTGTGGGCGCCGGGCCGAGCCACTGAACCTCGGGCGCGGACTGTCTGGGGCCCACGGTTGGCGGTGGAGACCTGCTTCTCTGGGAACTTAAAGGACGACGGTCGGCGGAGAGGGCACGGCGGAGATCGGGTTCCCGAGGAGCCAGTCGCTCGAGATCGGAGCTCTGTCGCTTAAAGGGGGTAGTTCGTGGTAGACCGACGCCAACTTTTCGTGAGAGTCGACGTGTCAAGTTGTCTTGTTTGGCGCGGGAGTTGTCAGAAGAAGGGCGGGGAGAAATCTCGTCTTGACTCTCCCCGGCAGACGTGTCTCGATGATCGTCGCGGCCCTGCCATAATTTTCGCAAACCCAACCGGTGCCACATGCTCTGCTTTGGCGGATTTCCGCCTTTGTCGTCCAGAAAAGCCGGCCGCGTCGGGCTACAGGAGTTGGGAACAGAGATGGCCATACGGCAAGCCGCTCTGTCGTGCAAGGAACGACTCGAACACCCCGCTGGCTGAATCTCCGATGTCCATAAGAATTAAGACAGGGTTAAGGAGGCAGGGGACTTTAGCGTCGCACTGACACACTGACACTGTTTTCGTCCCACCAGTTCCAAGTAGTCTCCTTTCGAGTTTGAAGAGTTCAAATGTTCACGTCGAGGTCCAACGTCCAAGTGTCGCACAACGTCGGGCTGCAATGGGCGAGGCTGGGAGACCGGCCCAGCACAAGCTCATAAAGTAAAAGGGCGGGTGCAAAAGGGGAAGAGAGATGTCGGTCAAGATGAAATTTCTTAGGTATAAGTTTTCTTTTTTTTTTTTTTTTCCCTCTCTAATTTTTTTTCTCTAAGGAATCGCCTGCAGCCGTTTGATAGCGGTGATGAGATGCTTCCGCTGCAAGGCTTCGAATGTCTGGAGGCAAAAGGACCTTGCAGGAGATCAATCAAAAGCCCTTCTAAGGGACACAAGGGCGAGGGAGAAAAAATTAGAATAAAGATATGATTCATCGAACGGCGCACAGATCAAAATTCGAGGATGCGTTGCGGCCTGACCCTTATGCCTGATTGGGGGCTCCGTTCACGCCCTGTTTATTTTGGCGTCAATCTATATGACACGACAGCAGCCCTAAAATTTGATATATTAATATTACTCGATATACGAAGCACATGTGAGTCTTTGCATTATCTTTGCATTATCTTCGCAATATCACTATATACTATACATATACCTTACTAGAACATCTCCTGCTTTGAGTGGAGTAATCTTTTTTTGGCTCTCGCTCTAGTCCATACATCTCACATGGGAACAAAAAGGTCTACTAACAGTCCTTCAACTCCAACCATGCATTCCGTGTCGGAAGACAAAGACGCCATGTACACAATAAATCACACAAAAGCTATACAACGTAAAACAAAACAGGTATATACGACATTACCCAAAGACCCAAAGGGGACCCTTAAACCCAAAAAGGTATCAGCATGTTACTCTTCATCAACCTCCTGGCTACCCTTCTTGGGCTTGGCCAATGCCTTTTGCCAGATCGTGCGGGCAGCCTCCTGGTCGAGACTGGGGAAGAGAAGGTCAAACACTTCAGAGTACCAGTTCACCGGGTGGCCTTCAATACCCTCCTTGATGTTCTATGTTGTAGATAAAACAGTCAGCTAAGATAACCACTGGGAATGGATAGATTTATGACTCACCTCAGGTAGCTCAAGCCAGTCAGATGTGTTGTCCGCAGGGAAGAGGATCTTTGTGGCACCAGCCCGACGAGCGGCCACAGTCTTCTCTCTCAAACCTCCAATGCGTAGAACCTTACCAGTCACAGTCAACTCTCCAGTCATGGCAACGGTTGGCTCAAGGGAGTGGTTGAGAGCTAAAGATAATAAGGCGCTAGCCATAGTGATACCGGCAGAGGGCCCTGTTAGAATGGTTAGCCGCCGGCTTGTTATTAACCAAGGCATATTAAGTTTCACATACCATCCTTTGGAACAGCTCCCTCAGGGCAGTGCAAGTGGACCTTCGCTTTTTCGAAGAACTGGTTCTCGGGGAATTGCCGCGCCATAACAGACTTAGCGAAGGAATACGCAATGTGAGTGGACTCCTTCATGACGTTTTGTAGGTTACCGGTGATTTCAAGGCCCGGGCGCGAGTTGTGATTCAATGCGTTCTCCAGAATACATTCAACGTACAGAGCCGCTCCACCCATGCTAGTCCATGCAAGACCCATGGTAACACCAGGAGGGAACCGGTCGTACAAGCGGTCTGCGGTGAAGACGGGAGGTCCAACATAATCCTTCAAGGTTCCCTTGCCGATGCTGAGATGCACACTGTCGGGGACCTTGAGGGCCAATCGAGGGATCTCTGTGGTCGACTTCTCTGGCTCAATCGGAACTTGCGCAGGATCCGTTGGCTCATGTTCCTTCGACTCTTCCTGGGCGATCTTGCCTGCTTCGGTCAGTGCCGCCTCTTCGGACATCACATCCTCGCCTAGGTCTTGGACAATTTTGAATGCTGCCTTCCGATAGACCTTTTCGATTTGCTTCTTCAGGTTACGGACACCGCTCTCACGGCAGTACGACTTGATCAACTCCTCGATAGCATCCCGTTCAAGGTTCACATCCACATCCTTTAGACCAGTCATCTCCCGAGCGGCGGGGGCGAGGTATCTCTCAGCAATTGCCATCTTCTCATCTGCCACATAGCCGGACAATTCGATGAGTTCCATACGATCCAACAATGGGCGAGGAATAGTGTCGGTAACGTTGGCTGTGCAGACGAAGAGGACCTTGGAAAGATCCACAGGAACATCCATGTAGTGGTCTAAGAACGAGTTGTTTTGTTCGGGATCGAGAAGTTCGAGCAAAGCAGAGGACGGATCGCCCTGGTGGCCACGCCCAATTTTGTCAACCTCGTCGATCAAGATTAGAGGGTTCTCGGTTTGACACTTCTTGAGAGCTTGGATAATGCGCCCAGGGAGAGCACCGACATAAGTCCGTCGGTGGCCCTTGATCTCCGCCACATCGGTCAAACCGCCAACGGAGAATCGGTAGTATTGTCTGTTTAGAGCGCGAGCTATCGATTTGCCGATACTGGTCTTTCCAACACCAGGTGGGCCAACGAGGCAAAGGATCTTTCCTTCGACAGTTCCACGAAGCTTGCCGACAGCGATGAACTCAAGAATACGATCCTTGACATCCTTCAGCCCGTAATGATCCTCATCGAGGACACTAACTGCGTTCTTAACGCCAAAATTTTCCACGCTCTTCTGGCCCCAAGGGATTTGAGTTAGCCAGTCCAGGTAGTTGCGAGTGACATTGAACTCGGATGCAGCAGGCTCGAGGTGTGCCAGCTTGTTGATTTCCTCGTCGAAAACCTTCTTGACAACCTCAGGCATCGCAAGCTTTTCAGCCTTCTCCTTGAACTTCTCGACAAGCTTGTCTTTCCCGTCAGACTCGATGCCAAGTTCTCTCTTGATGCCCTTCATTTGCTCCATCAGCCAGTACTCGCGCTGGCGTTTCTGGATCTTGGCCTCGACATCTTTGGTGATTTTGGATTGCAGCTGAGCGTTCATCAATTCCTTCTTCAGCACAACAAGTGCCTTAGGGAGACGCTCCTCAATGTTCATTGTCTCAAGAACTTCTTGCATCTCGTGGAGCTCACCGGCAGATACAGCGGCAGCGAAATCAGCCAATTTGGACGGTTCGTCACTGAGGTTTCCTGGGAATTGATCTGTGTAAAATGCCGAGATTTGATCGCGGAACAAAGGGTTCAAGGTGGCGATCTCTTTGCACACATTGACAATTTCACTGGTCACCGCGCGAATGATTGGGTTTTTCTTATCGAACGGTTCTTCGATCAAGTTTTCCACGTTAACAAGGCTGACGGGGTGTTTTTTCAAGAAGGATGTCGGTTCGTAATGGTCTTTGGGAGCTGGCTCGGGTGCGCTTTCTTCAAAGCTGGCCACTACATCACCTCGCTTTTCAGTCGATTTGTCTTCTGACGTAGGTGTCGGTGGAGGTGTAGCGGCCTTAGTGTTCTCTCCAGGGGGAAGTAGCGACGAGATCTTGATACGCCGGTGGGGGTATAGAACCGCTGTCACACCACTAGCCTCCCCACGAAGAGGGTATGCAGCGGTAATTTGAGCGAAAACTCCAGTGTCGTAAACGTCGTCCAATTTCTCGATCACGTCACCATCGGCATTGTCATCCTTGAACAAGAACGCTCCGACATACGGCTGACCCCGTTTCATCATATCTTGGATCGCAACAGCGACATTCGGGTCGCGAATAGTGATTGCTTTGTAAAAACCAGGGAACAACGGGCGTTTCGCGATGGGGATTGCCATAACCTGTGGGTAAACGTCCGGAACTGCCGGCTTTTGCAAAGCCTTTTCCCCGGAGGCCTTCTTGCCCTTCTTCCCACTATCGTCATTGCCGCTATTACCACCGCTGCTCGCGCCGCTGGGTTTGGAGTCGGCCGGGCCATCACTTGGTGGGATGGGCGACGGTGTGTCATTAGAGTTCCCCTTGCCATCTGATGTGTTGGCTTCTTTCTTTATTTCCTCTTCCACCCCACGCTCTTTATCGGATGATCTGTCTCTTCTCCGCGCGGGAGCTACCTGATCTGCGGAAGGGACATTCTTCCCTGAGTCGGCTCCCTTCCTCCGCGATTCAGGAGCTCGTTCCGTTTCCTTATGATCCCGACTGGTTTCATGCTCTTCCTTCTCTTCCGGTTCGTCTTTAGGGTCCTCTGGCGGGGGTTTCTCTCTCCTCCGAATGGAGCTCGCAGAGAAGGCGCGGGAAGACGAGGGAATAGAGCCACCAAGGCGGACCGAATTTAGTGTTGATCGAAAAGTGGCATTGTATCTCGGCGAAGCAAGAAACGGCCGTCGGAGAAGAGGTCGTGGCGTTTGATGGAGTACAGCTCTCCAGGGGAGGGTCTGGCCGCGGAGCATGCTCCTTAAGTATGAGATGGACACCCGGGCAATGGAGTGAAGGAGATACGTGAGGATATAGTAAAGAACCGTGACAGCCCGTGGCACAGCTCCAAAAGGACAACAATAGATATTAGATACAGATGGGTAGAGTGGAAGCTGGAATTCCGTAGTCAGAGCACCCCATAATTGCTTCGGTAAGCAACTCTTTCATCATCGTCCGGCAACACGTTTTTCCGAGAAACTTCTCTCAGCCAAAGAACTCGAAGCTTCTGTGATCCGGAGAGTAGGTCAACTTGGTTTTGGAACGTCATTGGTGCTCTAAAACCATTCTTTCTCTTGTTCAAATTGTCATTCTTTTTTCTTAATTATTTTCCCTCGCATAGCTATCTCCCTTCATCGTCGCAACCACGACTGCCGTCCAACCGTTGTTCGGCTATTACTATCCATGAATCCATCCACGGCATTTCCCAAGGCCGCGGCTCTCCCCGCGCGTCTGTTGCGGACCCAGCGACAATGCTCTAAGCAGAGTTCCGG